TGCTCCCCATCAGCCCCCAGGGCCAGGCAGCCCCTTCCTGCCCTGCAGCAGGGATGCCTCTGACATTTGGGCTTCAGCATTGGCAGCTTCTGCCAGTTTCTCTTCAACCAGTTCAGCTGTCTGGAACATACACCATCGAGAGACAAACAGACTGCTTTGTGTGTTGGTTGACCTTCAGGCTTCTTGTAATGGCCTCATGGAAACATCTTGCACCTCCTTTCCATTCATTTGCAGTCAGGAATAGGACATCAGGCCAGCTGGGGAGAGGATGTTTTTGTCCACAGTCCTTGTGTTTGGTTTTTCCTGAACCCAAAAGTTGTAGTGATTTTCTGCCATATACCAGAATTTTCTGTATCTTCTAATGTGTCCCTGTATCTTCTAATATGAGTTCCTAGGTGTCCCTGCCCATGGCAGGTTGGATCTAGATGATCTTTAAGGTCCCTTCCAATCCAGACTATTCCATGATTCCATGAATTGTATAAATCAGCCTAGCTGATTTAGTACTGCTCTGCAGTATTGGAGTCTAGTATCCAATTCCAGCCAGTGTCCTTAGATATCATTGCTGGTTTCTTGTTTTCTGCTTAGACTAGCAGTATTTTTGACTAGACTGCAGGTGGGCTTCCACTTCTGCTCCGAGCTCGTCCTAAGAAAACCAGCAGCAGTTCAGGATCATCTGGGAATGATCAGGGAAGCTGGCCAAGGCACTGCTTAAATATCCATAAAATTCAAGCCTCTGAGGTGCCCACAAAAGATCCCCATTCTTCCTGGAGAAGCCGGTAAGCTGTGGAGCCATTCCTTGTTCAGAGCACAGTGCGTCTTTCATGTAATTTTGCTTTGTAGTCAGTGCTTCCTCTCTCTTTCATCCATAGCTTTAAACCAGATGTTATGTCTTCAGCTTTCACAGGTTTTATCTGGTGGCAGTCTCACAGCTGGGGTAGGTTGCTAAGTATCAGATACCCCTGTGATCAGGCATTTTAACATCTGTTCATATATCCATAATCTCTCCATCCTTACCTGGGTGCTTGGTGGCCCATAAAAGCCCACCAAAATGACACCTCAGTGTATGTAGCTCAGTCAAGGGGCAAATTCCATTGTCCTTCTGATTTCCCACCTGACTTCTGAAGTCTTGGGGCTTTTTGCAAGCTGGCTTGATTGCAAATCATCATTTCCATTCATCACCCTTTCCCAAGTTGTCTCCTTCTGGTTTACTGAGCAGAACTTTGTTTCACTCATCTGGCTGGGTAGCTGATTGAGAGTTGGGGAACCAGTGCTCCAAGCCTTGCTGGTAGCCCACTGGGGAGGCAGTGAATGAGTAAGGGCTAAAAGGAAATGGGGAGAGAGCAAGAACCCTTACTAGAAGAGAAGGTGGAGACCTGACATACTTCTGTCAGTAGGAAATGTGTTTTGGAGCAGTATATAAATATTTTCACCCTCAGCAGCAAGTGGGTAAAACCCCAGCTTCCTGCTGGTTTGGTGTCCACAGTCCCAGCCATCCCCTGGGAGCACTGTTCAGGGCTGGGCTGTGCTTCCTGCTGAGGACACATGTGAGCCCTGTGCACAGGACGGAGTTGCCCTGTCTTGGAGTCATAGAATTACAGAATGGTTTGGGTTGGAAGGGACCTCCAAAGCTCATCTGGTCCAAGCCCACTGCAGTGAGCAGGGACATCTTCAACTAGATGAGGTTGCCCGGAACCGCTTGAGTCTTGCAACTCAAGGAGCTGGTTTTTAGTTTGGTGTTTATACCGTTTTCCTTTTCTTTCTTTTTCTTTTCCTTTTGTTTTTAACTTGTCCCTACCCACTGCACCTGAATCTTTCTGTGTGTACCTGGGCTGGATGATGTGGCTTCTGTTTTGGGTCTGGTTTCTGCAATCTGTCTGGTTTTTGGTTTGAGAGTGGTCCAGTCCACAGCATAGGTTATCCTTTTGTTGTTGATGTTGCCCAGAGCATAGCTTTCAGAGCTCTTATTCCTATTATCAGAAGGCTTTGTCCTAACTTATGTTTGTATTAAAAGGGCTGGAGAATTTTCCTCTGAAGGGTTGGATGCAGTTTAAGTGTGAGGACAACAAGGAATTGTTAAAAAAGAGACTTTCCATAAGCTTCTACTACAAACCCCACTTTTTCCAGATGTGGCTTGTTTGGCCATGTCAGTGACTACATGCAGTAGAGTGACCAAGTTCTTCAGGTAAGACCTGAAGCTAAGTCAGATCTGTCCATCCCTGTCTTACTTGGTGCCTTCAGGCTGTTGCCTCACCTTGTGCCTTCCTTCCCTGCCTTCTCACATGTTCTTGGGGGAGTGAGTCTGTGGTAGCTGCTGCAGTGTCTTGCAGTATGCCTTGGAGTTAGATAGCAAATTGGCATTATGGCTCATGTGCTCTTCGGGTAGTGGCTACTGTTGACTTCAGTCACCTTTTGCTCTTTCTTCCTTGTTTCACTCATTCCTTACCTGGGGAATTGTAACCAGGCTCCATGGTTACAAAGCCATCTCTTCCAGCCTGGGCTCACCTCCACTCAGTGTGGTGCTGCATGCTGCTCCTGAGAGTTTCCCCTCCTCTTGAATTTGGCCCTCAGCAGTCTCCAGCACTCTTGTATGAGACCTCCCAATCTTGCCTTGTATCATTATGAGGCATATCCCTGAAGTAGTGTTTGTTGGGGAATCCATGCTTTTGTCTCAAGGTGTTTTCTGACTCCCATGTCTGCCTGGATACTTTACCCTATAGCAAACCCACTCTGCATCCTCTGGGTCCTCTGCCTGCAGTTTCTTTTGCTCCCTGGGGTGATTGTTTTGGGGAAAAGAATGAATCTTTGGGTTCCGTGTTGGTCTGGGGTGCTGTTAAAACCACCTCCTCTCTACAACGTGTATTTCACAACTTTCCAGAGTTGGAGAAGTAATAGCAGAGGAGGAAACATCAGAGGTGGAGGTGATGCTTTCAGGGGAAGTTGAGAAGTTTGAAGAGCATGTTGTAAGGATGGCTATGACAGGATTGTGCAGATACAAGGGGAGTGCAGAGAAGTCTTTGCTGGATGATCAGGAGAGGCTCTTTGGAGACAGACATGGTGTTGGCACAGAAGGGAGATGTGAGTTACAATGTGGAGAAAAGTTCCTTTTGGTATTGCTCCTCACAAAAGGTGAACTTCTCAGAGTGCTCAGTGAGAGACTAAACTATTCCTTATAGGTCTCTCCATAGTGGTTTTGGCATCCATTGTCAGAGCAGTGGCATGCTCATTTCACCTAAGGCTGATGATGAGCCACCTAGAAAGAGGCCTTCAATCTGCTCAGCCTTAGCATTTGTAGAGCTTTATATGGTATAGACACAGGACGAAGAAATAATCAAATACACCAGGCTTTCTTCAGTGGCATGCCTGAGCTTCTGTGAAACAGACTTGAACCAGTGACCTAGAGGTGAAGCGTTTTAGTGGCATTACTCATCCACTGAGCCATGTTCTTGCTCTGTTTGGGACTACAAAATCCCACCTGCTCCATGGCAAAGCAGGGTGCGGATGCTGCAGTTGGGGGTGTGCTGGGCAAGTCTCTTGCCACTTTTCCTGAGTATTCCCTAGAATTCACTGGGAGGGAAAAGGGCATCAACATGATAATTGCTGCTCTAGGCCAAACTAGAGCTACTAAACATTAAGAACGTGTGGTGAAATACCAAAAAATCAGGATACACCAAAGGTAAGGAAAACTACAGTGTCCAAACTGTCTTTATTTTATGTGGGTCATCGTAAAATAGTCTTCAGGTGCATAATTATGTTTCTCAGATAATGCTCTATGAATGGTCAGACTTGAAAGTACCTTCATGTTCTTAGCCTTGTGCTTGCTGAAGTGTGCGATCTTGATGCCACCAGCAGTTTGTGGGAGCAGGTGCTGGTTTCCTGCAGGTTTTTCCCACAAGCTTAAATAACTTTTCTTTCTTGGATAGCCAGATAGTTTTTCTCCTCAAGGAGGGTCCAAGCTACCTCTATTGCTTTGGACTTTCTGCCAAATTTTAATGTTTTTATTAAAATGGGCTTTTTTTTCAACATGAGTCACACCTTCAAGATCATTTCTTTCCTCACCTTGTGATCAAGGGAATGCATTTATTAGTGCAAGATGTTACATATATCTGTAAAATCACATGGAAAACTGTGGATGGTCTTCTCCATCCTTCATTTAAGAAGCTTCGTGTTTAAATACGTAGTTTTTCTAGTTTCAAATTTGCATTGTTCTTTCAAGCCCAAGTGAGACTTTAAATATAGTGTATATATAAGTATAGTGTGTGTATACATATATATACACGTAGTATGTGTGTGTATACATACATATATATATTTATTTTTTATTTATATATTTTATATATATATTATATATATTTATAAATATATATCTTTTATATAGTTATATATATCTTTTATATAGTGTTAATATTCCTTAGACCCCAGTACTAGGTAAAGTGTTGTTAGTTTTATGAGAAGAGCCCACAGGACTGTTGCCCACCGTAAGCATCACCAGAGCAGTGTGTTCCCTTCAGTATGTGATGGTCCCTTTTCCCCCTGCCCACCATGGGTGGTAGGTTTTAAGACCTTTTTATCTTTTGTGTTTGTCTTAGAGATTTTAAACATAGTGTTCTTTGGTTAAATTTCAAACCAGCCTTTGAGCCTCATCCAGCGTGGCCAAGAACTGTGTGGGAATTTGTTTGGCTGAATCTGTTGGTTTGCTGTAGTTTTCCATGAAATCTCTGCTCTTGAATTTCATTCTGACATTTCATCTAAAAATGTTGGTGTTCATGAGAGGACTGGGGTTTTTATAGATTTTATATGAGTTAAATGGCTTTAGGGGCTTTTGGTTGCATTTCTTAGTTGAGAACACAGCTTAATTTTCTATAGAGCATGTGTGAGCATGCTTTGGGGATTGCCTACTCAGCCCTGGGTTTGGGGTCCCTGGCATGTTTCTCCAGCAGTGGGTCTGAGGATACAGTAATGGCACGTAAGTGATAAAGTCTCTGCCACTCTTCCTCTTTCAGAGAATTCGGTCGACAGTGGATGAAAAGGAACAGAAGCAGCTTCTGATGGACCTTGATGTAGTAATGCGAAGCAGTGACTGCCCGTATATTGTTCAGTTTTATGGCGCGCTCTTCAGAGAGGTGGGCACTCCAAACTTGCTTCATTCATAGCAGAGTTTGGGTTTTACCTTGGGGTTGTTTTTTTTTCCCCCCTTTGCAGTTTCCAACTTGCAATAAGGATGAAAAAGTTCATTTGTGTCAGGTTTCTTAGGTCTCCACTTTTAATCAAGGGTATTGAACCAAGAGACCAAGAGGTCTGGGTGCTGCTTAGCACATCCATGCTACTCCCGGTTGTTGTTACGTCTCTGTGCATCTGAGTCTCTTTCTTTTTTGCTTTTCTTCTCTTGTGATGAGCTCTGGCATCTGTGACTCTCCCATGCAGACTGATGTGCTTCATGGCATTGGTTGTGAGATGGGAACATGTGGAGGACCTCTGTTCCTGTAATGAAGGTGGTTGTTGTGGTAGTAGTCACAGCTCCCCACAAGGTTATCTAATAGATGTACAGAACCAGGCTGTATCAGAGACTCCCAGACATGCATCTGCCTTGAAGTGGTTTGTACATGCAAATACATGAGAAAACAAGGACAATCGTGCTGGGTCAGACCCAACACTCCTATCAGAGTCTTCTGTCTCTGGCAGTGGCCTGTAGAATCTGTTTGCAGAAGTGCGTGTGATACCTTGCCATAGCCTTCAGTTGTATGTAGCTGAGTGTCTCCTGAACAAGGTGTTGTGTCTGTGTGCTCAGGAACTCTCACTGGATTTCCTTGCCATGGGCTGTTCTGAAAGGCAGGCAGCCATTCTAGTGAGTGAGCTGTTGCTGCAGAGCAGCAGAACTAACTAAGCTCTAGAATGCTGGCAGTTTGCAGAGTGGGAATACTAAACAACTTGGGAAAAACCTGTTCAAGGTCTTCTTATGAAGCCAGCCAAGTATCTTGGCTTGCAGTGAGGAAAGTAATCGCAAACACGCATGTTATTGTGGCAGCCTCTGTGAGTATGAAGAGTTGGATTTGGATAGGCAAAAACTACTACACAGATACTTCTCCTTAGTTGTGTTCTTACACATTCAGCAAGCATTTTCTGATAGTGATTGTCTTGTGGTCCTGTTTTTCCCTCAGCAGGAGGCATCTTAACACATTTGCTTCTTCGATCACAGAATTACAGGATGGTTTGGGTTGGAAAGGACCTTAAGATCATCCACTTCTAACCCCCTGCCATGGGCAGGAATGCCTCACACTAGATCGTGTTGCCCAAGGCTCTGTTCAACCTGGCCTTGAATCCTGCCAGGGATGGGCAGCCACAGCTTCTCTGGGCACCCTGTGCCAGCACCTCAGCACCCTCATTCTAAATGATGTCTTATTTTATGTCCAATCTACATCTCCCCTCTTTCAGTTTAAAGCTATTGTTCCTTGTCCTGTCATTGCACGTTCTGGTGAAAAGTCTGTCCCCATCTTTTTTATAGGCCCCCTTTAAGTTATAATGTTATAATTAAGTTATAATGCAATAATGTCTCCCTGGAGCCTTCTCTTCTCCAGGCTGAATGGCTCCAAGTTTCTCAGCCTATCTTTATAGCAGAGGTGCTCCAGCCTTGCATTATTTTTATGTCCCTCCTCTGGACCCACTCCAACAGGTCCGTATCCGACTCTTGTTGCCCCCAGAGCTGGATGCAGGAGTGCAGGGAGGAGTCTCACCAGAGCAGAGTAGAGGAGAAGATTTACCTCCCTTAACGTGTTGGCCATGCTGCTTTTAATGAAGCCCAGGACACCGTTGGGTTTCTGAGCTGCAAGCGCATGTTACCACCTCACGTGCAGTGTTTCATCCACCACCATCCCCAAGTCCTTCTTTCAGGGCTCCTCTCAATCCCTTCATGTCGCAGTCCTTACAGTGGTAAGTGCCCAGTTCAGGTGCAGGACCTTACACTTGGCCTTGTTGAGCTTCATGTGGTTCGCACTGGCCCCATGGAACCAGTTGGTTTCTCTGTGCTGTGTCAGTGAGAGTCCTGTCTCCTGCAGATGCACATGGAGCTTTCCACATCAGTCATCAGAGATACTGTGTTGAAGAGGATGTGGTTACTCATGTCCATTTGTTACCTCAAAGCAGTGCTTGACAGGAGGGGGAGAACAAATTATGATTGCTAGGGTACTTGCAATGATTGGGACACTTTCTTTTAGAGAGGAGGAGGAAAAAAAGCCTTGTCTGCCTCGGGATAGCAGCCGGAACTCCTACGCAGTGCGAGTGCAGCAAGCCAAGTTAAACCAACAAGCTCAATAGTTGATAATTCCATGACAAATTCATTACAAGTTGCAAAACATGCCTGGGAAGGCAGGAGAAGTGGCCTGTGCAGAACTCCTGCTGGTAGAAGATGATGGCTGGTATAGATGTGTCAGTAGCACAGTGCTCACTGTGGTGTGTTTGGGGACATATCCATGGTCAGTTGATACAAGGTAGTTGCTCTTTTTGCTATTGATGCACAACAGCCTATTTCTATAGAGGCTGCGCTGGCACTACTCAAGGCATCTGTCCCTGAGATCAGTCCCCAGTCCAGAGGAAAAGTGTCTTCTGAGCTGCATAAGGATGGTAAGGGGGTTGGAACTAGACGATCTTAAGGTCCTTTCCAACCCTAACTATTCTGTGATTCCGTGTGAGGGCGATGACACTCTTCATTCCCTCTCACTGGTGTAGATGCAACTTGCATAAAAAGGTTGGCCACTCCTTGCAGTGTGCTAATTTGATAAACCTTCAGCATTGCCCAGAGAAGCTTTGTATGCCCCATCCCTGGAAACTTGGGGCAGGAATTTCAAGGCCAGGTTAGACAGGACTTGGAGCAACCTGCTCTAGAGGAAGGTGTCCATGCCCATGGCAGGGGGTTGGAACTGGAGGAGCTTTAAGGTCTCTTCCAACCCAAATCAGTCTGGGATTCTATGGGTCTGTTGATGGTACCACAGAATCACAGATCGTGGATGTTGGAAGGGACCCCTGGAGGTTGCCTTGACCAACTCAGCTGGGGCCATGTAGGACTGCTTGCCCAGAGTGATGTCCAAATAGGTTTTGAATATCTCCAGGGATGGAGACTCCACAGACTCCAGTGGCAAACAGTTCCAGTGCTTGGTCATCCTCACAGGGAAAAAGTGTTGCTTGATGTCTGGAGGAAATCTCCTGCATGTTGGTGTGTGTCCGTTGCCTCTGGCCCTGTCACTGGGGACTCTTGAAAATAGCCTGTTCTCAGCACCCTCCCCTCAGATATTTATACACATTGATGAGAATCCCCCTGAGCCTTTTCTTCTCCAGGCTGGACAGTCCCAGCTCTCTCAGCCTTTCCTTATGGGATAGATGCTCCAGTCCCTCAGTCATCCTAGTAGCCCTTTACTGGAGTCTCTCCGGTATGTCCATGTCTTTCCTGTATTGGAAGCCCAGAACTGGATGCAGCACTGGAGGTGTGGCCTCACCAGTGCTGAGCAGAGGAGAAGGGTCACCTCCATCAACCTGCAGGTAGTGCTTTGCCTAATGCAGCTCAGGATGCTGTTCAGCTTCTTTACAGCAAGAGCACATTGCTTTCTCATGTTCGGATTGGTGCCACCATGACTCCCAGGCCAAGCTGTACTCCAGCTGGGTGGCATCTTTGTGACACGGGAACTTGGGACTCTGCATTGAGAAGTTGCTGGTGAAGCAGATTTTCAGTACACCCTGGAGATGGGCAGTGATGTTTTGAATGAGATGTGCAGGTTTCTGGAGAGTTTTTGGAATGCCTACAGGTGCATTAGCACCTGGGAACCCAATAAGGATTAAAATACATTATTGGAAGAATAGTTCTGATGGGAAGAGAAAATTAAGATGCTTTTTTGTAATTTTATAACTGGAAAACAACCTGATCGAAGAGACCTAAAGAGAAAGTAGGATGGTTTTGTCCTCAGCTCCCCTGAAAGCAGAACTTCCTCTTTTACATGAGCATGTTCTTGTATTTGATCAGGAAGTGGCTGGGTGACTGTTGTCCCCACCCAGTTCTCAGGGATGTTCATCCACTTTGCCAATGGGTAAGTCCTTTTAAACCCAGAAGGAGTTAAGAACATGCAGAAGTTTGAATCTTGAAGCTGCAGAATTGGAAAGGTCTCTTATCTTTTTTTGTTGATCAGGTAGATTTTTGTATTACCAGATCAATAAATGCCCCAATCCAGGGTTTCTATAGAACATATACTTCAGGAGACCAAGCAAACCAAGTCTTTCCTTCATTGCCTTTGATCATATAGAGGTTTTTATTCTTAAATTAACCTTGGATCGCAGTTTATTATAGACTTTTTGGTAGCACACACGTGGCTTGTAACACACAGAGCGCTTGTAGAGATCTGATGTGGTTCCAGACACACTTGACTTACACTGATGCTGGATCTACATTGCCTCTGAGTCACTCTGGATAATATGGAAGTGCCTCAACTGCATTTTGCCTTTGTTGCCAGTGCTGGAAAGCTAAATTCTCTGCATGTGTTGCCTCGTTTTTTCCCTGCAGTTTCAGTCTGAATTGATTCATCCATAGCCAGTCATTTGTTCTCTAGTAGCTCACCTTTCTCCATGCCCCCTGAAGCACTGGTCGTGCCCTCTTCCTGCTGTGCTGCACTTGCCTCCTTCACTGTGGTGTCTCTGCTGCTGTGTCCAGCATTGCACCTTTTCAGTCAATCCATTCTGCTTTGTTTTGGGTAGAATGTGCACTTTTTGGGCTCAGGCTTGTAACAGCCACTTCCCTTGGGTGGGGGACATTAGCTCTTGCTCTGCCTTGTGCTGTTGTAAAAAGCCTAGTGCCAAATGAGAAGTGTAAAATGGGCTCTGAACTAACAGTCGTCTTCCCCAGCCAGCCTACGGGAGGTCAAGCCCTTCCTAGGAGAACACATCCCCTCTTGTCAGAAGGGAGACCTCTCCTGTAAGAGGTGGGGATGGATTTGCTGTCACTGAAGCAGCAGCATCCCTGATGTTGGTGGCAGTTTTCTGTCCGTATTGCTGAAACCAGCCTTGCATATGTATGAGCACGCCAAGACCAAGCTGGGTTCCACCACTGTCTCTGGATGTGCAGAGCTTGACACCTTTGGTGGACACTTCAGTTCCCACTAAACCAAGCACTTGGCCTGGAGGCATGCAGACAGATGCAGTTCCTTGGCTTGTGTTTCACAAGAGGTCATTCCGAGTGGCAGAAAAGCCCTTTTTGGCCTTAAAACCTGTGTCTCTACAAGGTTTTCCATCTACTACATGTAACTTGAGAGTTGCTCCTGACTCTCATGAGGGCCAGGTAACTTCTTCCAACAGAAAGTGACTCAGGTGTGCAGGATGGGAGCACGGGGCATTGCCACACCTCCAGCATGCCCATACCCTAGGGTTTTTCCCCTAACTTCATTTCCATCTATTAATACAGAGTTCGGTTGGTTTGTGTTTTGGCTGGTCAGGGAAAATCTATCTTCTGTAGGATAATTACTTGGGAAGTTTCTCCTCTCCTTTTTGGGGGTATATCACAAGAGTGTGCAGCTTAGTCACAACCAGACAGGCATCCCCTGCTCTGGACCATGCAGCAGCCAGGGCACCATGACACAAGCTGCTGCTCCTCACATCAGTGTTGTACGTGGTGTTTAGCCAGGATGAGACAACCAGTGATTCAGAGAATCACTAATCAAATCAACTCTTCTGCTCTTAGCTTTTGACAGCTAATGCATTTTTACCACTCATGGTGATACAGCCTGTAGAAGATAGGTGCGAGTCTGTCGTTTCTAGTGGGGACCAGGTAGGTCTAGATCTAGTGTTTTAGTATTTCTAGCAGTGAAGACTTGCCTGAAGTGCATGAGAGCCTACAAAAACAGCTCATGAAAAGCCTTCTGTCATCCTCAACTGGAGCTAAAATGTTCAAAACCCCTTGAAATAACTTAAGATCAGTCCATGGCTGAGCTGTCCATCACCATATGGTAGATACATACTAAAATGAAAGATGAAGCCCTTCAACAGTGTGGGAATCCATTTCTTACTGCCACCAAACTGTGAGTGGGTTGATGTACAGATCTCAGGAGAGCTGTGCTATGTAAGCTTAGCTTGGTTTAACACAGATACTTAGTACACTTTACAACTTTCTGCATTTAAATTGTCTAACCGTAAGATGCAAATCAACAAAACCACAGACTTGGGTTTCTTTCCATTTTCTCTTGCTCAGATGGTATCTCCGAATGTTGTGTGAGATGTCTGCTGTCCTCTGCAGGGTACTCATACCCTGAAGGGGTATTTTTGGTCTTCCTGTGCATGCTGGTCTCTCACTGTGCCTGCAGCCTTCTGGAGAGCCAAACAGTTTGTGAGACTTGGATTCATCTAGGTTCAGGCGTCTAAAATGTGTTATCAGGTCTAAGGTAGTCAGGTAGATGGTGAGTGTGGGGGAGAGGAGCTTATAAGGGTGAGTCTTCCATTCCATCCTTCCTATGAAATGCATGTGGTTGTTAGTGTGTGTTATAGCATTCAAGGGATCTCTTCAAGCTCTCTAAATTTTTATTTATCTTTTTTATCTTGGCAGTAACAAGATTCTTTTCTCTTTCCAGGGTGACTGTTGGATCTGTATGGAGCTCATGTCTACCTCGTTTGATAAGTTTTACAAATATGTATATAGTGTATTAGATGATGTTATTCCAGAAGAAATCCTAGGCAAAATCACTTTAGCTGTGAGTATTTTGCTTAAACCTTTTTGTATATGTTGTTGAAGCTAATGGGAAAGATTCAGATCTCTTCCACTCACATGTGAAAAAGCTGGTTGATCTGCATGCAGCAGGACTGCTGCTGTTGGATTGCACCAGGCTTTGAGTGATCCTGGAGGATACTCTGACTTTTCCAAAGCATACTGTGGGACAGAAAAGCAGATCCTGTGGTCTGTAATCAGTACACAGAGACCCCAGGACCAGCTTCCTGCTCTACTTGAACATTGTCACCAGCCCCCTCTTTCAGGTGCATTGGTGATGGCATCAGTGTGAGCTAGGTGCAGGTTGTCTCATCTCAAGGAAGGTGCCTAAAATAGATGGTCTGTCTCTCCTTCCCTTGTTTGTAAAGGGAACAGAGGATTGGGCATTTATAGCCAGGACATGTGAAACCCGCCAAACTGTTATGGGCTGTAGTAGCTTCTGCTGCAAGAGGAGAAACCTCATTGGAGGAGCAAGGTGTAAGAAATGACAGCCCTTCAGCTGCCCCAGAGGCTGGCAGAGCTTTTCATGACCTAAACACTTGGCCACGGGCTTGGGCAAGCAGAAAGGACCAGTCTTTGGGTGTTGTTCTTCAGTGTTGGACTTACACAGCACAGCTTCAGAGAGCTTTGCAGCACAACACGAACACCCTCTTGCCATCAACAAGCCACTCCTTTGGTCATGGGTTTTGATCTTTTCAGCAGAAGCAAAATGAATCAAAATAATAAACTTTCAGGGGATTTTATTTTTAAACCATCCTGTGAAATCAGACTTCCTGGGTGTCTCTTCCATCTGATGGTGAATGGTTAAATCAGAAGAGCTGCTGCTGCTCCCCAGAGTGTTGCTGTTCTGCAAGTGGAATGGGAACGGTTGTTAGCTACTGAAAAAGTACAGCATAGGGCTTGAAATAAGTTACTACTCCAGGTAATTGCATGAGAAATGGCTTGTCTTCACCCCTTGCTCCCTTCTGGAAGACTGTGGTCTGTCAGGTTATAAGTGATGGGTGTTAAGCATGTTGCCTCCTATGACTTCTTTGCAGGAAAGGTTGAGAGAAAAATGCTTGTGATACATGGCATACTACAGCATTGATATCTCAACATATTTAATGCCTTTCCCTCCTGTTCTGGGGGCTCCAGAAGTTGAATAATCACAGGAATCTTAGGACATTTGCTAATTTTTCATCTGGTTTTCTTTCCTAGACTGTGAAAGCACTAAACCACTTAAAAGAAAACTTGAAAATCATCCACAGAGGTGAGTGTCTGTCTTTCCTTCTTGCCTACAAGAATCATTGCAAGACTTTTTAAGTGGCCTTTGTTTCAAGTCAGAGCGTGATTAGTGAGATGTCAAGGTGCATCTGGGCACATGGCAACTTTGGGGCTGGTTCCAGCTCCTCTTGCTCCCAGTTAGCACATCCCACCAAGGGGTGGTGACTGTGCAGCGCTGAAGGGGTTGATTCTTTACAGCTGCTGATCATGACATGGAAACCTCTGGCTGTGACTTACTGGTTTAAATGCCTTTCTCTTGCAGACATCAAACCTTCCAATATTCTTCTGGACAGAAATGGGAATATTAAACTCTGTGACTTTGGCATTAGCGGACAGCTTGTGGACTCCATTGCCAAAACGCGGGATGCAGGGTGCCGGCCGTACATGGCGGTGAGTGAGAATGAGCTGGGCAGGATCTTAGAATCACAGAATCAGCTGGGTTGGAAAAGACATTTAGGAGCATCGAGTCCAACCGTTCCCCAGCCCTGTGAAGGCCACCACTAACCCGTGGCACTGAGGCCTCATCTCCACGGGGTGTGAATGCTTGCAGGGATGGTGACTCCAGCCCTGCCCTGGGCAGCCTGTTCCAATGCCTGAGCACCCTCTGGGGCAGGAATTGTTGCTCAGCTCTATCTAAACCTGCCCTGGTGCAGCTTGAGGCCTGTTCCTCTTGTCCCATCCCTTGTTCTTTGGGAGCAGAGCCCAGCCCCTCCTGGCTCCATCCTCCTGTCAGGCAGTTGTAGGCAGCCATCAGGTCCCCCCTGAACTTTTTCTTCTCCACACTGAACCCCCCAGGTCCCTCAGCCCTTCCCCATCACCCCTGTGCTCCAGGCCCTGCACCAGCTCCATTCCCTTCTCTGGCCCCGCTCCAGCCCCTCAATGTCTCTTGGAGTGAGTGGCCCAGAGCTAAACACAGGATTTGAGGTGCGGCCTCACCAGTGCCCAGTGCAGGGGCACAGTCCCTGCCCTGGCCCTGCTGCCACAGTGGTGCTGATAGAGGCCAGGGTGCTGGGGGCTTCCTGGCTGCCTGGGCACAAGCTGCACGTGTTCAGCCCTGACAATCAGCAGCTTCCTTCTGCAGACCTGACTCAGTATGGCCATGCCTGTGGTCTGCCTGAAGTGTCAGCCTGTTTCCTGTGGGATGAGCAGCCCCTTCCCAGAAGAAGCTCTGGGCTGAGCGCTGCTGTTGGCATCATCAGTTAAGGCACCCAGGCAGTGGCGAAGTGACCAAATGCCCTTTATTTTAGCTGGGTTCTTCTGGTGCTGGCAGTGAACTGCTGCCAGTGTGCTGCTGGAGCTCAGAGCTTCAACGTGCCTTCATGCTCCAAATCAAACAGCACATGGAGGGGTTGGTGCTGTCTGGGTGTGGGGTGCTCTTGGTCCGCAAGAAATCCATTTGCTGCGGTAGGATTATGTCACAGGAGTTACTGCAGAGCAGAATTACAGTGAGTTTTGCAAACCACTTTAATACCAAAGTGTGCCAGAACTTAATTCCAGGAGAATGTGATTCCAGAGAGCAGCAGCAGCAGAGCAGCTGTGTGGGAATGGCTCAGGCTGAGCAGTGGCTCCTGCAAGTCTGTCCTGCCTGTTTGCTTCCCTCCTTTCCTCCCTCCCCTTTCAGGGGAAAGCTGTGGGGGTGATTTTTGGAGCTCTCTGAAAGTTTTAAACCCTTTTGTGCGTTGGGCTGCTTTGAAAACATCTCTTGGTTTCATGTGAGCTGAAGGGACCTCTTGCAAGGAGCTGTGTCTGCTGCTGCCAACGTAACTTGAATTTCAGTGGCTGTATTTAACTCTCATCTTACGGCTCCATATGCTGAAAAATAGTGCTTTCTGAATCCTCTTATCTGCCACCAAGGAAACAGAAAAAGACAGTCTCTCTCTCTTTTAAGGTACAGTGCCCATCTGGTCCAGGTAGCGGGCTTTTATCTCACTGGGGTGTCCAAGGCAAAACCTGTCTGCCCTGATTTCTGATCCGTGCAAGTACACAGTCTGCCTTTCAGAGCATCTGACCTTTTCTTTTCACTGTCATTCTTGCAGAGCTAGTTACTGGATGAGCTGGACAGGATAGGACAGATGAGATCTGTTAGTGGAGACAGATGCTGTAATACAGCAAAGTCTGTGCAAGCCCCAGACCTGCAGCAAATGGTGAAATGGGGCAGTTTGTTTAAATACAGACCTTGTGAGGCTGGAGAGGGCAGAGCTTCTGCAAGGAAGATGGTCAGAGCTGCCCACTTTGTTGTGCTGGTGGGATGTGAGGTGCTGAGAGCACCAGTGGGATGCCAGGAGAGGGTGGGAGCCAGTGCAGTCCCAGCTACTCTGACCAGAGGTTGGGTATCTGCATCTCAGACCACAGGGATGCTTCTGATAGCATCCCTCATGGTGGTTGTGGACTTCTCCCTGTGATTGGAGGCATGTATCAGGTCAGTAAATAGGGCTTTTGAAAAGCTGCCCTCTCTTTTCCCCTTCCCAAGTTCAGTGGACCGTAATTGCAAGAATTAACATTCCCACTTTTCCTTAGAACCCTCAGCTTTGGTGGTTCCTTTGCTCAGGCTGTTGGGTTCAGTTACTATGAGACAGTTCCTGGCATGTCTGTAAATAGCTGTACTGCTTCTTTTCCCCTGGGGCTTGGATGGGGGAGTGCTTCTGATGTCCCCTTGGGATTCCTCCCTCTGTCCACATACACTCTGCTCTTTGTGCATCTCCATCAGCAGCTCCAGACTGTTGGATTTTGTAGTGAGCAGCAGTGCTTTTGTTCAGTTAGTTTTGAAGAGCCTTGATGGGGTGCACAGTGTGTGGGACAAGCCAGCAGCTGGCAGGCAGTGTGGGACGTGGCTGGCATCTTCCCTTCTGCACTCTGGACATGGTGACTCCTTTTCCAAGTACATGAGCATTTCCATGTACTGGGAAGCCTGGGAAATGGGGAGATGTACCCAGCATGCAGGGTACATCTGGCAGCAATTCAAGCCAGCAGAAGCTGATGGCTGTCGTGATGCTGTGATTAAACCTTAATATATCTGGGCAGGAGTGAGGCCAGTCAGACCTCCTTCAAAAGGAAAATAGTATTTTTAATGGGTTTTCTTAGTGTAAAATAGGCAAAGGGCATGAGGTATGGTCAGCCAGGGAGGGGCTGATAAGGGCTGCTAGATGATGATGCTCCCTGCTGATGAGACCATGTTGCTCTGCAAGGCCCAGTTGGCCCTTGGTACTTGCAGTAATTCTTAGAGCATGAGCGTTTGCACACTGAAGGAACCTGATCACACTGTGTTCACTGGGTCCCCAAATAGCTGTTGATAGCAACAACATAGGATGTCAGCCAGGCAGCAGGAGCCATGTCCAGCTGCTGAGTGAGCGCTGTGTGGTTTAATGAGGGTTGTCAGAGCTGTCACAGGAAGCAGCAGATCAGCCTTGGAGCTGCCAGTGCTGGAGAAAGTTGTGTTTTGGCTTGGGATTGAGAAGTCTGCCCCTTGCACTGCTTCCTGCTGGACTCTGTTCAGTCTCGGTTTGAAAGCTTGTGTCTTGCTTAGGTGTTAAGGCTATGGAAGAAGAACTGGGCTCCCTGTAATTCCCTTTTGTATCTAACTGCTTGAAGGACTCCTAGAGCATCCCCACCAAAATTGCACGCCTTTGGTGAGGTTCTGTGACAGAGTCACTCAGTTGGGGCCAAGCAACACCTTAAAGAGCTGCTGCCTCTCCAGAGCTTGGCCCTCTTCATACAGTTCTTGGAAGCATCTCAATGGAGGTGGCATTGATGGCACATGCCAAGCTCAGGGGTGGCCTTCCAAAACAAGGCCAGATGGAGAAGACCTCTGAAGTCCTGCATTAAGGATGCCTCTTCAGGTGCTAGAGAACCTACCACAGTGCCCATGGAGTTGTCCTGGTCATTAATTACACTCCCAATACCGTATTTTAAATACCAGTAAGTCTTGTTTGAATGGATGGCAGTGGGCTCTTGTTTCTGCTTTGTTTGCAGAATCAAGGAGTCCTTCACGGTGCAGTTTCTTTCCCCAGGAGGTGCTTCCTGACTCGATGTCATCATCTCTTAAGCTTTTCTCTCAGGAGATTAGGGGCTGAGCAGCTTATGTCCTTAAGGAGGATTGGATTGTATTTTATGGTTGTGCTGTAAACCCCTTACTTTTCTAGCATCCTTCTACAAACATAGAGCATGAAATTGAGCAAACTTCAGTCCTTGTCTCACCTGTGGAGTATATAAGAGCAGTGGTTCCTAACATGATGCTCCTCTGGGATTTAGTGCTCTCCTGTCCTTTTCCAAGAGCTTGTCTGTCATCCCAGAGTGCTGCTTTTTCTGTCTTGTTGAGTGAGTCAGCATCCAGGCAGAGCCCAGCTCACCAAGCAATCGCATCACATCAGTTCTTTGGGAACCCTTATTTAGAATCATAGAATAGTTAGGGTTGGAAAGGACCTTAAGATATCAATTTCCAACCCCCGTGCCATGGGCAGGGACACCTCGCTCTAAACCGTATCACCCAAGGTCTCGTCCAACCTGGCCTTGAACACTGCTAGGGATGGAGCATTCACAACCTCCCTGGGCAACCCATTCCAGTGCCTCACCACCCTAACAGGAAAGAACTTCTTCCTTATATCCAATCTAAAATGTTACACAATATGCAGAATTTAGTAACTAATTTTGTATTTTATTGGATATTATTAGCTGTAGCCCAAGGAAGGTCACCTCTGAGGTCCCATGATGAATCCCATCTTTCCCACTCAACAGAGCCCTCTGATCAACTCTTTTAACTCTTATCAGTGAATCCATTTACTAGGGCAAATTATTGAGGCTTGATTTAGTTACAGGCCAGACAACACACTGCACTAACTCAAGCTTATTACAGCCACACAATTACCTTTTTGAACAAGACAAATAAGGTTATCAGGAATCATAGAATCATGGAATGGTTTGGGTTGGAAAGTACCTTAAACCTCATCCAGTTCCAACCCACTAGACCAGGTTGTTCCAAGCCCCATCCAGCCTGGCCTTGAACACTGCCAGGGATGTGGCATTCACAGCTGCTTTGGAAAGCCTATGCCAGAGTCTCACCACTCTCACAATAAAGAATTCATTTCTTATATTCAACCTAAATCTCCCTGTTAAGTTTGAACCCATTCCCCCTTGTTCTATCGCTACACACCCTGATGAAGAGGGATATGCTGTGCCAAGCCCAGCAGGACCTTGTTGTCTTCATTAATGCTCGTGCCAATCTTTCCATGCCTAGTAACTGTTCCCTGTCCACCAGTCCATGCGTGTTCCTGCTGTTGAGATGGAGGAATTCAAAGGCTGGTAGGAAAGCCAGCTGGGAGGGGATGGGAATCCCATGTTGAATGGAAACCAGCGTCTCCACCTGGAAAAATGGTGCTGGAGAAGTTTTTAAATGAAACATTCTCTCAAAGCAAATACGTAAAGGAAATAGGAGGGGAGGAAAGGCCATTCTCTAGAAACATGATCTCTGCTGATAATCTCTACGCAGCCACAGGCTTCAGGGCTGACCTGGCCGAGGGGCAGGGACAGGAAAGCAAAGAACAGAGGATTTTGGAAGGAATGGTTAAATTCAACAGTCCAAGCAGAGATTAGTATTTTGCTGAAGTATTTATTGACAATACTACTCTTACCTCCTGTGTAGGTATAAAACTGGTACCCACAGGGGCAGTACTACTGCTCTCCTAGAGATGGTAGAGGGGGAAACAGCAGGTCCACCTAGTTAGTAAAGACTGAAGAACTCATGTTCTTCACTTCCCTGTCAGCTCTTCCACCCATCATGCTGTGTGCCCTTTGCTGGCCATGGAGCTGTGTCTCTTTCTGCAGCAGGGGTAGGATGCTGCACCACCCCTGGAGCAATCGGTGCTGCAGTGCAGGCCTAGAGAAAATTAAGTGTGAATGGGCTTCTTCATTGGCAGCTAGTACTGGAAAGGACCTTTGAAAAGACTACCCAGCACAGTGTGACTTTGATGCTTCACTTGCCTCTGAGAGTAACTCACATCTGTGCTCTTAGACTGAGGCTTTTGCAGCACTGAGGTCATCTTCTGTGAGCTCCTACGTGCCTAGAAGGAGATCCAGAAAGCTTCACTGCGTATAAAAATCAAGATCCACATGCAGTTAGATGCCTCACCTCTTCATCAGCCAAAGAGTTTGGTGTCCCCAAAGGGAGATCGCTGTCAACAAGTCCCAGACTGGTTTGGGTTGGAAGGGCCTTTAAAGCTCATCCAGTTCCAACCCCCTGCCATGGGCAGGGACACCGGCTTGCTCCAAGCTCCATCCAGCTGGTCTTGTCATTGTAAGGGAGAACCTCTAAAACTTCTGTAGAGCAAACTAGTGACAACTGGCCAGGAGTGAATGGATGCTCCCACCCATCTGGAGCTTCAACACTTACTGTAGGGCTCATCTTGGACACTGAGGGCTGCTTGAGAACCAGCATAGTGATTCCTCACACGGACAAGTCACCTCACAAAGCAGGGCTGCCTCTTCCAGAGATCTTGGTCATGTCCACAGGGCTTGTGGTGAACACCTCCTGGGGAAGGGAGCAGTCAGACTCTTTATCAACCATACAGGGTCTGAACTGCCAGCCAACACAGTCAAGGTGCTGGTGCTTAGGTGGACACTGAAATGGAAGTACCATGGCAGCCTCCACCCTTCTCTGATGTGTTCATACCCTGCCTCTTCGGGCCATCGTCACATCCAGTGGTGGGTCTCCATCTCAGCCATTTCCTTTCATCTTTGCACGTGGCATTAGGATGCCTGGCATGAGTTGGGCTTTGTCTGCAGCTTTCATTCCAGGTCCCTGGAGCGTGACTTTTCCCCACTGGTATTAATTGCTCCTGTGTCATCTACATGGAAAATTCTCAGAATTCTTTCTGCTCTGTGTTTAGATGAGATTTATTTTGGTTCATCCTGCTTTCCCTTTAACTGAGCCACCACAGTGGAGGGGAAGGTGCCTGTTGCTTGGTCACTGCCCTGTGTGGGGGCTTCAGTGGAGAAGCTCTGTCTCACCAGTGCCACCTCCCTCATCCCTAACACAGTCCTTAGTACTTCACACCTTGCCCACGATACCTACTGTGTGTGCAGTCCTTCACTCTGCTGCATGGACAGTGAGTCCTTTTGCAGCCTTCTGTGGCACATCCCTATGGATCTGCAGTGTGGGAGTCCCAGTACTGGCAAAGCCAGCATCCTATGATTTTCATAGAATTCCAGACTGGTTTGGGTTGAAGGGTCCTGAAGGCTCATCCAGCTCCAACCCCTGCCACAGGCAGGGACCCCTTCCACTGGAGCAGCTTGCTCCAAGCCCCTCTGTCCAACCTGGCCTTGAGCACTGCCAGGGATGGGGCAGCCACAGCTTCTCTGGGCACCCTGTGCCAGCGCCTCAGCACCCTCACAGGGAAGAGCTTCTGACTAAGAGCTCAGCTCAGTTTGTCACTTCACCCTGTTCCTTTTGACATTTGAACCATTACATTTTCAACCAAAGAAGGCAGAATTGAGGTTTCTCATAAAGATGACGTGCAGGTTTACATCACAGAGGTGGTTTATGTGGGTTTACCTCTCTGCATTACTCACTCTTAGATGCAACTCACCCATGTCTGGCTCGATGGTATTTTCCATGGAAAACCTTTGGGATGTTTGGAGAACTTGTAACATCATAGTTGCCTTCAAGGGATGCCCAAACCCTTTTAGAGAAGAGTTGTTTTTGCAGTGCATTGTTTTTAATACCTCCTGAGCTTTACCAGCCAACAGACAGTTGGGAAGAAGAATTCTGATAGATGCTGCTAAACCCGAGTTCTCCTGGCTGGTAGATGAGAAGATGTTTAGTCCAGTCCTGATGATTCCTTAGGGACAACTTTGCTGTAAAAACACAGAAATCAAAGGCTTTGTGCTAAAGAGACCCCAAAGTTCAACAAAACTGAATAAATAGCAATAATTATTCAAGCTGCTTGCACAACAAGCAAGAAAAAAAGGATTGGACTAGGCTGAATTGCTCTTTCAGCTCACCTTTTACATTGCACCTCCATAAAATTGGTATTTGAGTCCTTAAGATGTTGCTCTGCCCATGGGATGAATTTAGAGTTTTTTCTAAGCTTGCAGATGTTTCTCATTCCTTCCTGCTTGTTCACCAGTGTTTGACTGATCCTTCTTCCTATTTCAGCCTGAAAGGATAGATCCCAGTGCATCCAGGCAAGGCTATGATGTCCGCTCAGATGTCTGGAGCTTGGGAATTACCTTGGTAAGTGAGTGGGGTTTGAACCCTCTGCTATGAGCTGCTTTCCTGGTGGGCAGCCTTGGTGTGCTTTGCAGTGTGGTGTGTCAAACACAAGCTTGAAGCAAAGCCCAGCTCTGCTGCTGTTACTGAAGTGGGCATCTCCTCTCTCAGAGTATCAACCCCTTCAAGGCAGATGGCTCTTCTGAACCCCTGAGCATACACTTAGGTGCAGGTGTGTTCTACAGAGAAAGAGATGGAAGCAGGAAAGAGGTGTTGGATCATAAATTAATTTTGCTTTTGGAATCTCAGATGAGAAGGGATGGTGAGTGTGGTGGTGCAGCACAGAGCATCCAGCCTGTGTAAATAAGCCTCTCACAGCCCTGGCATCTGGTGTACTTTGGCTGTGCAGAAGGCTTCAGTTAATGCTGCGTCCTGCTGCTGATTCCTCTTTGGCACTGCTGGGTACACACATTGATAAATGGATAAGCTCTTCCCTTCTCAAGGCGGTGAAATAAAAGGAAAACAGCAGTTACGTATGAACCAGTTGCTTCTGTCTTCCCCAGTGCTGTTTTAAATGCTCATTTTCATTGTTTTACAAGGAGAAGGTGGTTGGACTTCACGATCCTTATGGATCCCTTCCAAAGTGAGATGTTCTGTGGTTGTGTGATTCTCATTATCCATCTTCTGTAGTGGTTGTTGGGATGCTTGGGAAGGGACTGGAGGATTTTACTCTCCTACTTTCGAACCCCTTAATAAGAGCATTGGTTGTTCTATAGTCAGTGGAGGAGAAAGCATTGTCAACATGAAAGCATGCCATAGCTGGGGTAAATCTGGAGGTGCTCCTAATGTAGACAGCAGAAGCTACTATTGGATAACTAGTAAGTTCTCTTCTCTCAGCTAAGCTTTGTACAGGGACTGGGATGAAGACCTTCATCTTAGTATTTCTTTTGGGGGAGTTCAGAGTTCTTGCAAACGTTTTCTTATTCTGATTGAACTTAACTGTGTGTAATCTCCTGGTGCTGTTGCTGTCTCTTTGCAGTATGAGCTGGCCACGGGGCGATTCCCCTACCCCAAGTGGAACAGTGTGTTTGACCAGTTGACACAAGTAGTAAAAGGAGACCCACCACAGCTGAGTAACTCAGAGGAAAGGGAGTTCTCCCCAAGTTTCATCAATTTTGTCAACTTGTGGTAAGTGTCTCCTACTGAAAGCACTTCAGCTGGGTGGCTTTGTCACTGCAGATATTTGGCAAGGGTCACAAGTCAAGCCCTTCCTAGCTTAGCCTCACATTCCTGCACCAGCATTAGGGTGAGGACCTTTCACATTTCATTGGTTTGGAGGTGATGGGAAATTTGTCTGGGTGAGGGCCAAGTGGGAAACCTTTGGAAACTACACTTCAGGGAAGGGATGAGGAGTGAACCTTTGAAGAGCCTGTGCTCAGGAGAGGCACAGTAAGACCCATGGCAGAAGGTTCATGCCTATACACAGGTAAGGGCCTGGCCTGTGCATCCTGTTCCTTGGTATGATGCAGTCTCAGGACAGACCTGCTGTTTGCCCTTTCTTCTGCAAGCAGAAGCCTGAGACACTTGGCAGTATTTTCTCATGGTTGGGCAAAGGGTTTGTTCTGGTAAAGCCAGGACTATTCCCTCCCAGGTCTGCTCCGCACACTGACTGTCGGGACCTGCAGTGAGTGGCTTGCTTGGTTGTTGGCTTCATGTCTTGTCATGTCAGTCATATGTCAAGATCAACACTAGAGATGGTTTCCTGTAGGCAGGGCCTCTGCAGTGTGGTCAGCCTTGGATGGGTACTGTGCAGTGTTTGGCAGGAGGGGCTTGAGGCAGTCCATCTGCCTGTGATGTGTCTGTGGTCCTATTTAGGTCAAGGGCTGATTGTGAATGTTGTGATGAAGTGTTTTTCTGTCCAAATTTGAAAGGTGGTCAACACAGTTTAGTTAATACCAGAGCACACAGGAGATCCCTCAGTGCGACCTGGGTTGATCTTCTGGGACCTTCTGTCCTGGACAGACCCAGGTGATGGATGTCCCCAGCACAGGAGTGTCGATCTCAAAGCTCTGTGACACAGAAAGACACTGCTCTAGACAACTTTCAGGAGGTTTTGTTCTAGGGTTTTCCGTCTGTTGGAGCTGGGGTTTGGGTTTGAATTTTACTCTCTTTCAGAGCTATGAATTGTTATGAAGGCCAGGATTCACCTTTCAGCTGGCTCTAAGGGGAAGGCCTGCTTATTGCCTTTGGGCTGTAGAAAATAGAGCAGCAAAATGGTTTGCTGCTCAAAAGAAGTTTCCATTTATTTTTTTTTAGTCAAAACCAGTGTAGTTCTTGGTTAGAAAGTTGCTTTTCCCATGTACAGAACAAGCAATAGTTTGTTTCCCCCATAGATCTCCATAGGCAAAATGGGTCATTACAGAGTTTGCAAAGCCAGGAGCTGTGTGCCCTGGTGAGTTTGGCTGCAGGTCACCCAACAGAGGACCCTGTGGGACATCACAGAACAGCAGCATCTTTGGCCCATTAGCCTGGGTCAGTTCCTATTTCCAAGCCATTTACCCCTCCCAGGGCCTGCTTCTCTGCAGCAGCCCAGTGCTGAGAGCACAGGGCAGTTTGCAGTCTGATTCTGATTTTCATAGAATCACAGAATGGTTTGGGTTGGAAAGGACCTTAAGATCATCCAGTTCTAACTTCCTGCCATGTGCAGGGACACCTCACACTAGATCGCATCACCCAAGGCTCTGTCCAGTCTGTCCTGGAACACTACCAGGGATGTGGCATTTACCACTTCTCTGGGCACCCTGTGCCAGTGCCTCACCACCCTCACAGGGTAGAGCTGCTGCATTAGATCTAACCTGAACTTCCCCTGTTTCAGTTTGAACCCATCACTCCTTGTCCTGTCGCTACTGATAGACAGATTTTCTTAATCTCTTTTTTGTAAATGAACTGAATTTGGCCTGGAATGTTATTTATGATGTCTTGATAGCAACAATGTAGTAAATATTTCTCTTTATGACCTTTAGCTGAGTGCAGATAGTGCTGTTGGTGCCACTAAGCAGGCAGGTGAGCATCCAGAAAGCAGTGCTTTAGGTGATGATGTCAGTCTCCTGAGCATTACCAATAGATTAGCTAAGAATCTATTTTTGTGCATTCAAGAGTCAGGAAAAATATTGGAAGAGAGTCCTGCAGCATTGCTCCTGCTCACTGGGAGGGCTTTGTGAGGAAAGGGGATTTTCCAGAATGGTAACAAGTTTCTGGGATTTCCCTATGGGTTTTGGTGCAATTGCTTTGGATCCCAACACTACTGCGAGTGCCTCAGTGGAGTGTTTTCCTTTTCCTCCCGGTCACAGAATCATTTGTGTTGGAAAAGACCTTCAAGTTCATCAAGTCCAACCATAAATCATCTTGCAAAGCTCTTCGAACTTCCAGTCAAATTCTTCCTTTCACCAGCACCCCATGAAAATCTGTGGACATTTGTAAATAGCTTTGACATAAAAGTTTACCCAAAGCAGCTCAATTTCCAGATAGTCACTGCCTTGGTACACTAACAGTGACTATTGCTGTAAATACCAAACTACTGATAGGATACAGAGTATGAATGATAATTCATGACATGCTTACCTGAGCTCCCATTTGTGCTGGAACTGCTTACAGCAACTCAGCTTTCTGCTCCAGAGCTTGCAGCTATCCGAGCTCTGTGTCTGGCTCTTGGGAGTTTCATGCTGGCCACTGCAGAGCCATCAGCTCCTGGGGTCTGGTGTGCCTGGGGAGCACATCAGATGTTCTTGAGAAGGAGCTTTGTGGCCAGACACAGCCTCAGGTTGAGCTGGAAAAGAAATGAAGGAGTTAAGGCTGCTAAAACTCCTTTATTTCTTTAGCCTGAGCTGATGTTGTGACCTGGTCGCCTTTAAGGCAAGGCGCAGGTTTGAACCCTCAGGCCCGCTGAGGTCAGAGAATGAATTGCTGTTGGGTAGCAAAAGCCTGAAGTGAGGACGTTTGTGCAGCAGGCATGGGATTTCCTGCCCTCTCTGCATGCAGGTCCCAGCACAGCACCAGGCGTGCTGCCCGCCTTACCCTCTGCTTCTCTGAATGCCACACTGCAGTAGTGCCAGAGCTTGAGAAAGGTCCCATGTGTGTTGGGAATTAGACTTACCCTTCCCTCATTTGGGAAAGATGCTGCATCCACCCACCCTCTTCCCAGTGGTGGCTCCTGGGGTTGCTGGTTCTGTGTGTCCCCGAGCTCCACCCTGCAGCCTCAGCCCCCTCTGGTTCATTCCTGGTTGGCTGTGGCCCTGCCAGGGCTGGATGCACCCCTGGAAGGCAGCACTGACTCTCCTCTACCTCTGGGCCCTCCTGCCCAGTGGATGAGGGACAGGCTGGTTGCTGCTGCCCAAAACTTGTGGTTTTGCTGCAGCCAAACCCATTTCCATATGGAGGCAGAGGGATGGCGTTCCGCTTGCAGCTCCCCTGGGTGCTGTCCCCAGCAGCATCTGTTGGTGGCTACCCTTGCTGTTCACCCATGGGGGAGAGAGGGAAGGAGAAAAGGGGGGAGTTCCTGTGGTCACTTGCAGCACTATGATGGTTTCTCCAGCATACCAAGGGTAGTGAGTCCCACCACAACAGCAGTGCGGTCAACATCGTGTCCTGTGAAAATCTGTACTGGATGTCTCTAACAGTTTCCCCAACCCCACCTTATCCTCATTCTCTTTCTGCTTTCTTTAGCCTTACAAAGGACGAGTCCAAAAGGCCAAAGTATAAAGAGCTTCTGGTGAGTGCAAAGTGTGGCTGCCCGTGTCTCAGCTCTGCCGGTCACACAGCGGGGCTGGGTCTCATGTCCAAGGTCATCCCTTGTCATTTCGGCCCACCAAGGCAGTGTGTTCAGCTTCACAGTGCCAGGAGGAGGAGCCCTGTCTCATTGCTGGCAGCACTCTCACGTAGATGCCTCCACACACAGGTTGGGAGTGCTTGGGCAAACTAAGACCTGAAGGAGCATGGCTCTGGAGTGGGACACCAGCAGAGCCTGTATGGTGGGGGGTCTCAAGGAGGGAATGCAGTAGTGCTTTTGGATTGGTTAAGTCACATTTGGCAACCCTGCACCTTCAAGGAGCTGGTAGCCAGTTCTCCGCAGGATGTGTGGAACCATGCCCCAGGTCCGTGATGATGGGGATGTGATGTGAAAGCAGATTGTGTGCTGTCCTGGCCAGGAGAGTCACCGTGGCATTACTTCTCCATTACAGCCTGCTGGGCAGAGCAGAGCTTCAGGGTTCAGGAGAACCAGGTTTGGGTCCTGTTTGACCTCCATAAGCCATGTCTCCCTGTCCCTCCTGGCTCCCCATTGCCGACAAGGCTGATGGTGAAACCTCTCTTGAAAGTATTTTAGCACAAATCCGTGCTACAAAGGAGCCAAGTGCTGCTGATCCTGCACCCTCCCTGCCTCCTGTTCAGCAGTTCCTGTCCTCCATGCTGCACATTGGAGATACGGATTCCCTGTTAACAGCCATGGACCAGGCTATGTCCTGGTGTCCTGCAGCCACCACCAAACCCTGTGCTCTTGCATCAGGCAAATCCACACGCTGAGTTGTTACCTGAGGTAGCGAGATGGGTCCGAAGGGCAAACATAACCTTGTGTTTTCATCTGATTCCAGAAACATCCCTTCATCCTGATGTATGAGGAACGCACAGTGGATGTTGCATGCTATGTTTGTAAAATCCTGGATCAAATGCCAGCAACTCCCAGCTCTCCAATGTATGTGGATTGATATTGCTGCTACATCAAACTCTAGAAAAAGGGCTGAGAGAAAACAAGCTGTAAAGAGTTTTCATCACATATTGCAGTGTTTTTAATGCTCGCCCAGACACCATGTGCAATAATATTGGTGTTATTTCCATCCTGTCTGTATACTGTTGTCACATATAAAGTGCATCCCTGTAATACCTGATCACACAGTGTTAGTGTTGGTCAAAGAGAGACCTCATCTTGCTCTTTTGTGGACATATTCATGAAATGTGGAGATAAGTACATTTATTTGTTGACCGTGATTGGATAGCACCTAAAATTCATTTCTAGACTCAAACCTTGGAGACTTCTCAGCAGCTACTGGAAAGATTTTTTTCTCTCAAACTCTTCCAATTGTTGTTTCAAGTAATAATAAAAAACAAATAAAAGTTAGGCGTTGTCTGTCTGAACATTAAGGAGACTTTGCCTGGAGGGAGAAGAACTTGCTTAACCAACGAGATGCTTTTGCCTTCTGGAGCTAGCAAGGCAAAGGAGGATTTTACTCTTCACAAAGTGCAATAGATTTTACTGCTATGAAATTCTGTTGCTTTACAGTCGCAGTGTACTTTCTGGGGACAGTGTGCTCAGCTGAGCTTCCTGTTCAAGAGAGATCATGTTAAATATAGTGAATATGTCTTTACCAAAAATATGTTGCGTTGAAAAGAGGCTAACATTAAACTATTCTGAGATGGGACATCATGTATTCTTTCTCCTTTTACCAAGCCAGCCACTCTTCACTCTTAACTAGGTGTCCTGTAAATTGTTACCTGGTAAGATAAGACCTTTGACCTGAAGAATTATTAAACTACTCGATTGAATTTAACCTGCGTGTGACCTGGTTTCTGGCAGCGCAGCGCTCCCCACCGCCTGGCTCTGCTTTGACTGCAACAAGTGCCCATCGCAAAGGCTGCGGCTGCTTTGAGGAGCCTCAAGTGAATGTCTGATTTCCAGATGCTATTTCTTATGCTTCTCCCTGGGCTGCTGCCTCCCAGCCCTGTGTCCCTCACAAGACCAAACCTCAGCACTTTCTTCTTGCTATGGCGGGCAGGATGGTGGGCATGGGGCTCTGTTCCCACCCACTGCCTTCAGTGTCACCTTTAGCTTGCTGAGACTTTGTTCACAGCCTCTGGGCACATTTAACCTCTTTGTGACCCTCCATAGCTCTTGTTGCTGTATCCCAGAGTGAACCTCACTGAGGCTGTTGGGTGCTGATAGGGATGAAGAAGCATCTAATGCCCTGGGGGCTTTTAGCTGGCCCAGCAAGGCCAAAGCTGCTGTCTTCCAGCCCATGGCATATTTTTCAAAGATTCATTTTTCTTAGAAACATTCTCTTTTTGTCCCCAAATCGTTGCAGTTTTCAGACATTTAGTCACCTACCAGGGATAAAATGGAGGCTGCAGGGCCTCTGATACCCATTTTGAGTTGTCCAGTTTATGTAGGACTTCATCTCAGAGCAACCTATGCAAAAGCTCTGCAGCGAAACTGGATCCAGGACGCAGAGGGCTGGAGACGCAGTGGGAGTGAGAGCACAGCGGTGCTGGCAGCATTCCCAAGGAAGGGACTCCCACCACAATCCAATGCTACCAAGCGCAAACTGGGCTGATGCAGGAGCACTGGAGACCAGCACATCCCTGTCCCAGCTGCTGGGCTGGGAAAGGAGAGAGCCGAGGCCATGCTCGTGTGGACACCGGGTGCTTCTCCCACCGCAGAGGTGACACCCTCATGTAACGCAGCAGCGAGCATCTCCTGCTTGGCTGTGGGAGCTGGTCCCTGTGATGCCAATGGGATCCTTTGGGGTGCAGCCCTTCCTGGATTATGTTCCTATGGAGCTGCTTGTCAAGTGAGGCAAGTCACTAAAGTCTTCCCAAACGGAGCAGCAGAGTGTTGTGAATGAAGTGATCATTCCAGCAGCTCTGGTTGATCACGTGGAAGGATCAGTAGAGCAAGGACCACAGCCAAAGTGCTGATCCCCACCGCCCCAGCCCTGTAGCCTCAGAGAACTCAGCTTTCCTCAGGCTTGGCCAATCCTCACAGCTGGGATCCAGCTCAGCAGCCTTCAGCCACCCATGGTGGGACCTTGGGCACGCCGGGTCCCATGGGGTGCTGCCCGGGGAGGGGGGGCACAGAGAGGTGCATGCAGAAGCTGTGCTGCTGCCCCTGCTCTCAGGTCTTGGTCTGATTCACATCTCCCCAGTGGCCGGGATCCCCAAACCCTTCCAGTTGGCTGAGCTGGATCCTCCCTCCCCAGGATCGGTGTCCCTCCAGCAGAAGGGGTTGCCTTGCTCTGCTCCTGGGGTCTGTGGCCTGGTGCCAGACTGGAGCTCGTCTATGGCAGCACCAACCGTTTGCTTTTGGTGGGTGGGAGATGGGAATGCAAAGCTTTGAGCTGCCAGTGCTGAAGCCAGGGTTGAGGTGCTGCAGCACAGGCAGATTTAGCATGTTCAACACACGTTGTTATCAACTATTGAGGGTGCACCATTTGTGATAATGTATCTTTATTAAAACATAGAGGTGGGAAGATGTATGGTGTTCAGAAGCTGTGAAAATAGTGCAAGAACTGTACATTGTGGACTCTGCTTCTTTCTTTTTTCTCTTGTACCATAGAAAAATGTATAAAAATGATCCAAAAGCTGATGTGCAGGGATGTTGCCTTACTGTCTGTAAAGATGGAGCTCAGGAATGTAACTGCTTCAGAGAGCTTCAGAGTATTTTATCCGGGATCCTGGTTTGACTTCCCCCTCTATTTAAGATATATACATGGATCAGAGTGTTTATGTAATAGTTCTATCCTTTTGCCTGCAGGTCATAATAAAACTGGGATGCGACTGTGACCTTGTTACGTTCATTTCAGGCACGAATGGGAAGGTTCATTAAAAGCTGTTGAAATTCCCAGCTTCCAGGGTTTTCCTCCAAGTGGAGGCAGGAGAAAAGCCAAATAATAGCAAACCTCAAGTGGAGGGAGACCTGGTTTCTGTGTAAGAGAGCTGAGCCCTCTGCGCTGTTGGGGTGCCTCAGGTGAGCCCCCTTTGCTGCTCAGGGAGGTTCTGGTGGCTCAGGACACCTTGTCCCAGTGAGGGGGGCAGGAAGCTGTGCCCACACTGCAGGGAAGGGGCAGGCAGTGCTCACAGCTTGCAGGCTGCTTTGGACAGGCTGGGACCATTGGGGCTGTTCAGCCTGGAGAAGAGAAGCTGCCTGGAGACCTCAGAGCAGCTTCCAGTGTCTGAAGGGGGCTACAGGGATGCTGGGGTCGGTGTCTCCTGCCTGGAAGCCATGGAGGGCTTGGAGACTGCCGAGTGTGCAAAGCAGGACCCCAAGAGCCCCATTGGGAAAGAAGACAGTGTCAGGGGCGGCCGTGACTGCCTGTAGTGCTCACCCTGGCTTGATGGGCCCAGGAGTGCCCAGCTCGGGGAGGGGATCATTGCTCATTCTGCAGCTCAGGAGCACAGTACTTCTCAATGGCTGGAGCAACCTGGCGTTGGCTCTTGTGGTGTCTCTTGCAGTTCTGTCAGTGGAAGGCAGATAATGGAGCCGAGGAAAGCCTTGCTGTGTCGAGATGCGCCATGTGAGAGGTCCAAGCCTGCCAGTTTGTGCCCAGTCAGTGCCTCCACCACCCCAAGCCTTCAGGGAGGTTCTTACCAGCTCAATACTTAGGATGTTTTGGGCCCAGCTGCAGCCCTCAGCCCTCAGCCAGGATCCAACATCCCGGATCTGCTGATCTCCTGGAGGAAGGCAGAACCTGACCACACACCAGGGAGAGCCTTTCCCTGCTGGGCAGACGTGGAGGGTGCAGCTCCTCGCCTTGCAGCCTTCTCCCATCATCGGAGCTGCGCTGGGGTTCTGTTCCTGTGGCACTGCCGCCTGCCTTGCATCCCGAGGGCTGCTCTCCAGGAAGCTGCCACAGCTGCAGGAGCTGAAAGAAGCTGGTGGCTGCGTGAGTCCATTCCTGCACTGGGTACTCCCATGCCCTGCGGGAGGGAGGGGATCCCTCTCGTCCCTTTTCCCCTGTGACTGTGCCGTGCAGAAGGGGCGGTTTTGTGGGACCCCTTCAGGTCCTCTCAGCTGCTCCTCATCGAGCTCATGCTGTTTTGCCTCCTGTAGACTCTTCCATGCCCGTTTGGACTCCACTGCCTGTGCTGAGGACCCCATTGTCATTGTGTCCCTGCTGAGGGAGGTACAGAAGCCCTGCACCCCACATCCCAGATGCTGCTGCTCTCAGACAGGACCCACAGCTGCACAGTGCTTTGAGCCCTTGGACAACTCCAACCTTCCTTACTGCGGTGATGGGTGATGGGAGTCCTCTGGCACCATGACCAGGCCCATATGGCTCGACTCTGGCTTCTTCCAGGACCAGCTTTGAGGTTTGGATGTGTTCAAACACATCCCTGCATGGCTCCAAGCAGTGCAAATGCACATGTGCGCCAACACCTATTCCTATCTGGGGTTTGTGCTCTGCGTTTCCACTCATCTTCTGCTTGGTTCCCTCAGCCTTCATCCCAGCCTCTTCTTGGTGGCCGGGTTAAGTATAAATGAAGTTCTTGGGTCTGGGTTAATGCCATAGGAGAAAAACCCAACATTTTGCCTTAGCCTCCTGATACAAATCACAAACGGGGTCAGTGCCCGGGGCATGCCCATGGCGCAGGAAGGGAGCGGCTGCGCTGGTGGGTAAGAGAAGAGAAAGCAGCTCTGGACGCTTCCGTTATGGATAAAGCGGCGATGAGGCCGCCGTGCCGGGGGTCAGGGGTGGCCTGGGCAGCGCTGGCAGCGGCAGGACCGGACCTGGTCTCGTCCCGCCCGCCTGGGCTCTGCGGGGCGCGCACCAAGGGGATGAAGCACGAGCTCCCTCCGCTGGAGCCAGCCCCGCGCTGCTCTCCGCTGCCAGCCTGGCCCCGCTCAGCGGAGCCCCTTCCTCGGGGCCTCCTTCCAGGCTCCGGGTGGGCGCAGGTCCGGGGTGCGGAACGTCCATGGATGGGGGAGGAGAGGTCCTGACCCCCCCCGAGGAAGCCGGGGTGAGGGGGGGTAGAGGCTGTGCGGGGACCGGGCAGGGATGAGCAGAGGGACCTGGATGGGTCCCCAGGGGTCGGTGATGGGCACATGCGGGCTCCTCTCTGTGCCACCTCCTCATCCCCCACACCCCCCAGGGCAGAGGGTTCCCCCATGGAGCCCCGAAAGGCTGAGAAAGCGATGTTTCACCGGGTCGTTGGGGAGGGAAACTGCCCAAACCACGGCCTGGCTTGAGCTGGAGCTGATGGGAAGATGCTGTTGCTGTCTCAGTGCCTCTCGTGGAGGATGGTGCACTGAGCCAGGCATCTCACGTTAAACACTTCCCAAAGGGTTCATTTGACTCTTGGAACATCTTCTGGTTTTATATTTCCTGTATTTTTCAGGCAGGAAGCCCAGGGAGAGTGGGACATCACTGGGATCTTCCAGCTCGGTGTTGACAGGTAGGAAAACCCCGGGATACCGAATCCTTTGAGACACCTGGTGTAGGAAAATCACCCCACACAGAAGGCTGAGTGTGGAATGTCCTTGGGCAATGGGGAGGGAGAGCACGTCCTGTCCTGCTCCATGGCCTATGCTCACACAGGAGGCTGCTCCCATGGGGATGGAGCTGACCTGGGCTCTCCCCCAGGCTCCTGCTGCAGGTATCCTTCAGGGCCTGGGAGGAGACCTCAGGAGAACCCCAGATCCCTCTCTCTACCCCCAGCAGGTCCTTGGTCAGGACTCGGCCTCCCCAAATCCTCTGCTCCAAACCTGAGCACCTGACCTTGAGGGCTGTGACTCCTCTTGCCTTCACTTCCAGCAGGACACTGGCAGCACATCTCCCATCTCCTCTTCTGCCAGTTGAGCAATACAAGCAGGCTTGTGCAATGGGCAGGTGGGACAGGTGAGTGCTCTGGTCCATCAACATTCCTGAAGCAATCCTAGACTGAGGATGTCTTCCCTTTCTCTGAGTTAACCAGAACTTTGAACCATGGAATCAACTTGGCTGGAAAAGCTCATCCAGTCCAACCCTTACCCCAGCACTGCCAAGTCCACCCCTAACCCATGGCACTGAGGCCTCCTCTCCACGCTGTGTGAACACTTGCAGGGACGGTGCCTGCAGCCCTGCCCTGGGCAGCCTGTTCCAATGCCTGAGCACCCTCTGGGGCAGGAATTGTTCCTCAGCTCCATCTAAACCTGCCCTGGTGCAGCTTGAGGCCGGTTCCTCTTGTCCCATCCCTTGTTCCTTGGGAGCAGAGCCCAGCCCCTCCTGGCTCCATCCTCCTGTCAGGCAGTTGGAGGCAGCCATCAGGTCCCCCCTGAGCCTTCTCTTCTCCAGACTGAACCCCCCAGGTCCCTCAGCCCTTCCCCATCACCCCTGTGCTCCAGGCCCTGCACCAGCTCCATTCCCTTCTCTGGCCCCGCTCCAGCCCCTCAATGTCTCTCTTGCAGTGAGGGGCCCAGAGCTGAACACAGGATTCAAGGTGCGGCCTCACCAGTGCCCAGTGCAGGGGCACAATCCCTGCCCTGGCCCTGCTGCTGCACTGGTGCTGATCCAGGCCAGGATGCTGGGGGCTTCCTGGCTGCCTGGGCACAAGCTGCTCATGGTCAGCTCCATCAATCATCAGCCTCCTTTGGGCTTGGCCATCCAGCCACTTTCCAACCCTTTTATTAACCTTTATGGCAGTGGCCAGATTTAGTTCCAGGTGTGCATTTGCCCTTTCTTTCTCCCTGTATCGCCTAACAACATCCTGTTGGGGGTGACTGTCCCTTCTTCCATAGGTGACAGATTCTTTTTTCACCTGAGTTCCAGCACTATCTCCCTGTTCAGCCAGGCTGCTTTCTTCCCTGGACATAGGGACTGCGCACTCCTGCACCTTAAGTATTCCATTCTTGAAGAGCATCCAGCCTTCCTGGACCCCTTTGTCCTTCAGTAATGTTTCCCAAGGAATTCTGCCAACCGACATCCTGAACAGGCCAAAGTCAACCCTCTGGAACTCTTAAGGTGGAGGTTTTGCTGACAGCTTGGCTCAGTGCATGCCATTTATCACAGCACGCTTGGTTGCAGGCTGTGGTTTAGAGACTTCAAGATGTTTATAGGAACTAGTCCATGAACATCTTAAAGCCGCTAAACTTGAAGATGCTGAACACATGAATGTGTTTGACTCAAACCTGAACGTCTTTAACAGACCTTTTCAACTACATCTCAGATTCACTTCTGCAATGTCTCAGGATCATCCCACCACAGACACACCAGGAGCCCCTCTGCAGACAGTGGGTGAACGTCCTGGGAACCCTTTTCTAGGCAGAAGAAAGAATCTGGAAAATGACATTAATGGGTAAACGGAATGTGCAAAGGGTTTGGGCAGGGTGCCCACCACTTCCTTTGAAGGGGTCACTGACCCCAGGTTTACAGCACAAAGTGAAGCCAAAGCTATGAGAAGAAAAAGCCTTCAGAAACGGGAGATTTCAGTCAGCTTGCTCAGGAACCTTCCAGGAGAAACTGGTGCTGTGAAAGAAACGTGGCTGCTCCTGTGAGGACTGAGCTGAGCCGGGAACGGGGCTGACCCCAAACGGTGAAATCAAACAGCAAACAAGAGTGTCAAGACAAAAGGGTTTTAATAATGAAGGTGTTGCTGGTAACATAGGTAAGGAAATGTGCTTGCTTACAAGATTGAAGCTGACAGCATCCCTTTAAATAAGGAAATAGGTTTGCCGAGAGGAGGAAGTTACCTGGGCAGGCCTGTACAGTGCCGCAGTGCAGCAGCTAACACTACTCTGGTTCAAGTGCTGGTGATATTCTGCAGGGGCTGGCTTGGGAAAATCTCTCACTTAGAAAAAGGAATTCTGTTACAAAAGCACCCTGTGACCCCCTACCCCAGCAGTGCACTGTGACCGTTTGTACAATAGAAAAGTGGTGCTTTAAATAGCGACTTGAGAGCTACTGCCACGTGCTTTATACAGCATGCAACAACGCCACGAGCTGGAGGCGCAGCAGGGGCTGCACAGCCTCCTCGACAGCTCCAGCATCCCTGGGGGGAGCATCCCATGGGAACCATGGCAGGTTTCCCCCCCGGCTGCTGCACCTCCGATGTGCTGTCTTTCCAGTAACACAAATATTAAATATGCTCAGTCTGTAATAGTTTAACAATCTTTGTCAGCAACAATATTTACTTTGGCAAAACCAGAACTGCAAAAGAAGTAGACGTGTCTGTCAGACAAGTCCGCAGCAAGGTCTTTGGTGGAAGCCAAGAAGTGAAGCAAAGGCTCCTCTCCAGAGCCTGAGGAAATATATTGCACAGAGACTCATAGGAGAGATGCTGGTGACTTCAAATGGGAGGCATCACTGCAGGAGAGCATCTGCCTCTGCCAGCTTCAGGAGAACTAGCTCCTCCAGGCTCAGTGATTCACAGCCGTTCTCCGGGTGGCCTTGCTCTGGGCTGAGTGCGCAGTGATGCTGGAGTAAACTTGGGAACCAGGGGATGACTGATCAGGATCGAGGAGGGACAGGAAGAACGGAGGGAGTGGGAATGGGAGATGGCTGAGGAGTGGAGGCAACAACAGCAGATGCTTGCACAGAACCGCAGCCCCGCGAGGACCCACTGAACCCTGCCCCATGTGCCGGCTGCCGAGTGTCCATTTCTGGCTCTCCCTGCTCCCAGGTCATGCAAGGTGGTGGAAATCCATCCTGACTTCTGGCTGTGCAAAGGACAGCCCCTCCAAAGCCTGGCTGTATTCTCTGTACGACTTGCTCCTACCTTGGACCAAAACACATTACACATCTCCATCTGTACCGTACTAGCTGGGGTGCAGCAGCTCCACTGGGATGCCACATCCCTTTGATATCTGCATGTGCAGCCTGAGCAGCTGCCTCCAACATCCAGAGCTCACAGGCTCCAGCCTGATCCAGTTCAGACTGCAGCCAGGACGGTTCCTGGGCTTTCAGCCCCTCAAGCACCATGAGGCCATGACAAGGTGCCACCACACGTACGGGGGGGTTCCACCTCTCATCCACATGGAGCAGAGCTGTGCAGGGACTGGGCAACACCGTGTTGGAGGCAGGAAGCCTGGTGAGCCTGGCTGTATGGAGAAGTGTGCTTGTCACCCTGGCTGGGCAGAGCCTCCCTGATCCCACATCCCTGCCTGGGCATGGCCAAGATGAGCCCAGCAGGACTGCCTGAAGGGCGAGGCAGGCAGGAGGAGAGGGCAGCAACAGGCTAACCTCTATCCTCTCCAAGATTTCCGTTGCCACCAAGGTGAGGTCTCCTCATCACACAGTTTTGTCATGAGCTGCTCCAGTTCTCATGAGAGTGGCTGCTAAAACTGGGGAGGGGGGAAAGAGAAAAGAAAGAGAACCAAAGTTCTTTTCAACCTAAGGAAGTGTTAAAGGCACTGCTGTCCTCTGTGGGGACGTGTCGATGGAGGAAAACCAAAGTACCAGAGCAACTGTGCTGTTGATTGGCCGTAACTGGAAATTCAAACAGTTTATATGCTGGGAAAATGACTCCAGTTTCCCCTGGATGTGGCACCTTCACCCTGTGCGTTCTCTGGCATGACAGGAACACTGTGCTGGCTGCTGTATCCTGCCTCCACCAGCCTCCCTCTCACCACTGCTGCAGGTGCAGGTCCATGCTGGTGTTTAGGTTGAGATCGGTAACGTCTAGGAAATCAATGTTGAAGATGCTGGGAGCCACGGGGGTGAGCGAGCCAAAGCCGGTGGCGGAGCTGGGGGGGGTCAGGTCCAGCCACTCCATTGTTTCCCATGGAGACTCAGTGAAGCTCATCTGTAAACCGGCGCCGTCAGCAGGGGAAGGGGAGAGCTGGGTGTCCATGGGCGAGAGGGGAGGCTGTAAGATCTCCTGAGAGGGGAGCAGTTCATCGGCGGCCTTGCCAGGGAACCCCTCCATCATCCCTTCGAAGTGGGGCTCCTCTCCCCCCATCTTCAGCAGGGCGATTTCACTGACCCTGCCCAGGGGGCTGTGGGCACTCAGCAGCACCTCGAGGTGAGCATCACCGCTGCCCGGGCAGTGCTCGAAGGGGAGCTGGGCTGAGGAGACCTGCTCAAAGGGGGCGGGTGCCTTGGGGAGCGCGGCGCTGGAGTTCCCTGTAGACACCGTTATCTGAGGTACTTTCTGGAGGCAGGACTGATCTTCCTTGGCATTGGCTGGCATTTCTGTCAACAGATGTGAGGGGTTTGAGGTGCTCCGGCAGTGCCCACCACTGCTGGGCACAGGGGCATCACCTCAGCCTACGGAGACCCCCTCCCCACTCAACCCGCTTGGCATTGCTCACCCACCCTCCTTGGGGGAAGCCTCGCAGGTTCCTGCTTTCTGACCTTGCCTCCCCTGGCTTTGGACACTGTCTCTAGGGCACGAGCACTGGCAGCTGTCCCCACGGGCATGGGGAAGGGCAGAGGCAACCACTCTGCCCAGGGGAGGGCTCCGGCAGTGCTCTATGCAGGAGATGGCACTGGCAGCACTGGGAGTGGTGGAGGGCAGGAGGAGGCTCTGCGTGGGCAGGGTGCTGGCAGTGCAGTGCACAGGCTGCTGCCTTCTGTCCCTTCTCTCTGCATAGGTGGTGACCAAGCCTGGATTACCCCACCAGGACCTCAGGAGCAGGCTCCAGGAGGGCCAATGTGCTTTTGTGTTCAATCTCAGTGGCTGCTGGCACAGGGAGGGCAAATGAAAGCTGCACTCAACCCAGGCAGCTCTACGGGAGTGCACAGAAAGCACTGAGCCCCACATGGTGCCAGCTCAGAGGTGAAGGCCTGAAGGGGAACAGGGAAGCAGTGCCTACCTCCGCTCTCGATCAACACGTCCAGGAGCTCGTCCATCTGCTGACTTCGTGTCATCTGCTGCAGCAAACAACAAAGAGGAGAGTAGAGGGCGTTAGGAGGAGAGTCTCTCCAGCCACAAGCCAGGAAGGTGGCTGTAGGCCCCACGAACAGCTTTCTCCCATGCAGGAGAGGTGCCACACCAACATGGGGCTGGCAGCTGCATTCAGGTGAGCACTGCAGGGACATGGGAGAAGCACGGTAGCTCTGGGGAGCACAGCGCCAGGTTCCCCCCACCCTGCTCAGTGGCCACCACGCACTGCTCCTTCCCAGGGCTGTCAGGACACAGGGACTTTATGGACCCAGCACCTTGCACTGGCATGTGCCTCCTCGCACTCCCTGCAGCCTGGGGGGCAGTGCATCATCTTCCTCCTCTTCCTGACCTGGAAGGACTTCGTGCACGCGTCCCTGCCAGCACCAGCCCATGTTAATCACTGCCAACAGCACTGCTCCACTGTCCTGAAGGCACCATCATAACCAGCACTGAGGCTGCAGACAGATTGTCACAAGAAGTAAGGGGCTCATGGGTGATGGAGACAGTCCTCCCCATGGGAACAGTGCTCCAGGGTTAGGCGAAGGGAGGCAGATGGCATGGAGCACAGAACTTTGCTAACAGGCTAAAGAGGGACGGGGAGGTTTCCTGATGACTTGGGAATGCTCAAGAGTCTGTTTCTCACGTCACACTGAGCACCCAAAGAAAAGTACAGTGAAGTCCTGGGTGTCTGTGGGGGATGTCAGCGCCCCAGGGTACCTGGAGCAGGACAGAAGATGCTGTCCCATCCAGTATGGTGTCTGACTGCTCTATGGCAGTCATGCAGCACCTAAGTCTTCAAGAAAAGCCTGTTCCTTATGGAACAAGCCTGTTCTACCCAGAGACCCTATACTGGGTTATACCTCCTGAGGATGAGTTACATCAGCCTCAAAAGAACACCCTGCACAGCCCTAGCCTTATAGAAAATAAAAACCATGCAGTTACCTGCTTTACTGCATCCTCATAGGGTGGAGGCTGCTTTCCCTCTGAGAGGGCTGGGCTTGACTTACAAAAAGTTGGGGATGGAATAGAAAACTTTTGACCTGCCTGCGTAGGCATCTGCATGGGGAAATACAGGGAAATGGAGTCAGTGCAAAGGGGGCCCAGCTCTCTTTCACCCCTGGTGAGGCCGGTCTGGTGCCAGGGAAACAGGTATGTGGGTCAAATCAGCTCAAACTGCTTGGCTTCCAGGCAGGAGGAAGGGAGATAAAGCAGCTCCACCAGACTAGCTCTGAGAGCCAGGGCCAGGCTGACCTCTGATCACTGCTGGAGCACAGGCACGATGCTGCAGAGCATCCTAGTGCAAGGGGAAGAGAGAAACTGGGATGAACTGGGGCTGGGATCAGCAGCACCTTGTGATGCTTTCATGTGTTGGCAGCGTGTGCCCACTTCAAGCTTTTGTCCCTGTGCAGAGGGCTGAGTGAGGAGTGGTGGTTGCTGAAGGGACAGCTCTCTGCTGTGCTGGTTGCCTGGTGGGGAGGCACATGTTCTAACTCACTGCAAACTCCAACTGCAAACCCTGCTTTATCCTCCCAAGAAACAGTTTCCCATATGACCAGGGAAACTGCCCTCCTTCAACCTAGTGGTCAAAATCCCTCGCTCCCTGCTAGGAGCTGCAATGGCTTGGGGAGCTTAGCTGGATGTAGGAATATAGCCAGGGCTCTCCCAGAGGCTGCGGGATCTGTGCTGGTGCTTCCCTGCTGTGGATAGAGCTGTGCCAGGGCTCCATGGGATGGGGGGAGCTGTGCCAGGATTCTCCCAGGGGCACCACAAGCTGTGCCAGGGCCTCCTGAGGGGAGAAGGCAGCTGGCTTAGGGCTCATTAAGGGCAGAAGCAGCTGTGCCAATGCTCCCCCAGGGCAGAGGGAGCTGTGCCAGGGTTCCCTGCGGGGGAGGATTTGCCAGTGCTCACCCAGGGGCAGAGCGATCGCTGGGGCCCCCTGGGGAAGAGGGAAGCTGTGCTAGGGCTCCCCCAGGGCAGAAGGAGCTGTGCTAGGGCTCCCCCAGGGCAGAAGGAGCTGTGCCAGGGCTCCATGGGGCATGGGAGCTGTGCTGTGGTCCCCAGGTGGCAGCAGGGTTCCCCAGAAGATGCCCTGCAAAGGACCCTGTGGTGCCCCTCCAACCCATTGCCAATGTTCAACGGGGATTGATGGGATGCTCTCAGCCTTCCCAGGCAGCACTACAGCCCCCTGCGTGCCCACCCTGGGTGCCAGCAGTCCCGGGCTCCTCGGGAAGGACTCAAACTGAGATGTTGGGACTGGCTGCCCACAGAGCCCAGTGTGTTCACTGCTGCAATGGGCTGTATCCACTTACCGGTGCTGTGCGAAGGCAACTGCTGGCCTGTGGGGACCCACTGCGCCCTTCTGAGCTGGGGGACACCGGGAGGAGATAGTGGCTGTTGGGAGAGGGCGGCAGGCTGATGTGCTGGGGGCTCTTTGCAGCCCCGAGTGGAGAGTGCTGGGGGGAGCACTGCGGGCTCAGGAATGTCGAGGAGGTGATGGTGCTTTGCCCTGCAGGCTCCAAGCAGTGGCTATTTACAATGTGAGGCAGCTGTGGCACCCCACAGTTACTTAACTTATCCGAGCTGTTGGCTTGGCCTTTCAAGGCAGTTTGTTTGGATGCAAATGGACAGCTGGACACTGTGTTTTCTTGCTTGATGGGGACACCAAAGAAATGAGGAGCGGGCTGCTGCTTCTCCTCAAGGCCATTATTTCTCTTTCGCTTCTGGAGCTGCATCCGTAGCTCCTCCACCTGCCTCTGCTCTTGCTGCAGTTTCCACGTCAGTTCATTGATGACCTTCTGCTTCTCCACCAGCATTTTGTCTTTCTCTGTGTCGATCCCTTCCAGCTCCAGCTGGATGCTCCCTCCATTCATGCTGCTCATGAGGCTTTCTTCAGCACTGCCATGAACTGGAGATGGCTGGAGACCAAACTGTGGAGAAGACATGGGCCCATCGTTGAACGTGTCTGGCAAAGAGCCACTCACAGAGAGGTCGGAAGAGGCTGGAGAGATGGGTGGTGTGGAGCTGGTGCTGCCAAAGTGGTAGAAGCCATTGGATAACATGCTGGTGGAGGACTGCGACTGGTAACTAGACAGGGTGCTGGTTGGAGTGACTGGGAAGGTGACGGTGGTGATCTCGCTGAAGCTGGGCACTGCGTTGCTGCTGCACTCCTGGAAGGGCCGCAGCCGTTCCATCAGCGCTGTTTTGGTACCTGACACGGGCAGGCCTCGTATTCGGAGCTGCTGCCTCAGTTCTGATACCTGGGAGGAAGATGATCCTTTTAGAAACCCAACATTTCTAAAAGGGAGTCTCAGATCACAGGCTCCCAGCTTTAAAGCTCTGACCCCCAGGGGCTCACTGTCTCACCTGCAGTCACCAGAATCACCCTGTACACCCATCACCACCCCACATCCTGCAGGATCACGACCTTTCCTAACAGGAAAACCTTTCTTCCTTCAGTAACTGAGACTCCTCTCCATGAACCAGCAGTGGTCCTTGAGCCATGGAGGTAACCCAAGACTCTCTTCCTAGCAGTAGATTTCTAAGTGAACAAAGGACTTTCACACTAAAGGAACTAGCTGATGGCATCTAGCTCAGGGAATGTGACTATATACCTGAGAGTCAGATACCCCATGGTCAGGCATCTACACAGTTCAGACGTCTGAACTGGGGCATCGCTATGGCCAAACTGATGCTGTTTCTACCTCACCTTATTTCTTCCTCTAATTATGAATATTTCCCCCAGGTCTCTAGTTCTAAAGGGACCTGGCCTTCCCCGTGGCTGAATATAAAAGTATAAAAGAGTTGTTGATACGAGTGATTCTCATTCATGCCCTGTCTGTCACGCTACATGAGAGATTTAGGTGCTCGTAGTGCTCATAGCTGCAGTCTCCAGGAGATACCTGCTTGTGCAGAGAGCTGAGCTGGCCTGGTTGCAGTGACCACTGAGAAGCTGAGTCACTAAGAGGAGGCCATGCTGACATCCCAGCTCCTGGCTGCTCTGCCAGCAGCATCCATGGTGGCCACCATAAACTCACAGAAGGCATGGAGCTGTGAGCTGCAGGAGCAGCAGCACTGATTGTCCTTCAGTCCTTGACCTGATGGCCTGGCCTGCAGCCCTCCTGAGTTATACCTAAGGTTTGCTGACACATTCCCTGGAGGAAGGCACCCACATGGCCCTGCAGAGCAGCAAACCAGGTTTTCAGTTGCAATCACAGTAACAGATTCCTGACCCAATGTGATGTACTCCTGGGTTTGCTCACAGCACAGTGCCTCTGGTTTGCTGATCAGCCTGGGGCACTACAACACACACTTTGAGGATTGCAAAGCACATACAGGGGATGAGATTCTGCTCCTTATGGTGACAAACTTTGCACTCACTTTCAGATCATCCAAGTTTGACGGCAGAGGGCCTGGCTTGATTGCTGAGACACAAGTCTGGCCTGAAAAGGTGGTTTTCACAGGAGAAAGAGGGGTGGTGTTGACAGAAGTTGAAGAATTTGAACTTTTGACCAATTGCTCATTTGATTGCCTGGAATAAGAAAGGAGATTTGGGGTAACTCATCTATCCCCCCGGGGTCTCTGTGCCCACTGTACCATCTCTTTGCTCCTTTGGGACTGCCATCTCCCATGAGACCTGATGGGCTGCCAACCCCAAACAGAACCAGGTTGGGCTGTAAGGAGTTTTCTGGTGGTCAAGCCAGTGCACAAAGCCACGCTAGCTTTGCAGGAGGCTCTGGAGTTTCCAAGCTTTTATGTTCCCAAGCTTGCAATATCTGAAGGGGGCTACAAGGATGCTGGAGAGGGGCTCTTCATCAGGGACTGTAGCGATAGGACAAGGGGTGATGGGTTCAAACTGAAACAAGGGAAGTCCAGGTTGGAGATAAGGCAGAAGCTCTTCCCTGTGAGGGTGCTGAGGCGCTGGCACAGGGTGCCCAGAGGAGCTGTGGCTGCCCCATCCCTGGCAGTGTTCAAGGCCAGGTTGGATACAGGGGCTTGGAGCAAGCTGCTCCAGTGGAAGGGGTCCCTGCCCAGGAACTGGATGAGCTTTAAGCTCCCTTCCAACCTAAATCAGTCTGGGATTCTATGATTCTGTTTCACTTGTATGCGTCTATCCCCCTTTTCACTGGCACAAATGGGTACAGAGGGAACAACTTGGACAGAAGACTAAACCCTGCTATTGGCATATTGCTACTCACTTTACTTGGCCTTGGTGCATCCCTGGGTAGCTGAAGTGCTGCTGTTGCTGCTGCTGCTGCTGGCTGAGGATCTGGAGCTGCAGAAAGAGCTGCTGTTGCTGGAGGAGTCTGGCATATGCAGAATCCATGGGTGGAGGGGACTTCTCTGCCTTCTGGTCTGGAGGGATGTACTGGTGATACTTCAGCTTCTTCACCTTGGGCTTGGTGTCCTTGGGCTTTTTGTGACGGTTCTTGCTGTCACTGGATGATTTGGACTGTTGGTGCAAGAAGGAAAGGAATTAGCTGGGAGAAGAGCTCCGCCACCTCTGTAGGAACTCAAAAGCCTGGGAGAGAGCAAGGGCAGCTCCTGCAAGCACCCTGACCCCCCCCCAGCTTCAAGAGCTGCTCAGCCTGCATGTAGAGGACTCCCTCAGGCCCCTGCACCATCTCAGTTGTGTGGGAGAGCGCATGAGATGGAGAATGACCCTCCTTGCCTGGAAGACAAGAGGAACCAGCCTCAAGCTGCACCAGGGCAGGTTTAGATGGAGCCGAGGAACAATTCCTGCCCCAGAGGGTGCTCAGGCATTGGAACAGGCTGCCCAGGGCAGGGCTGCAGGCACCGTCCCTGCAAGTGTTCACACAGCGTGGAGACGAGGCCTCAGTGCCGTGGGTTAGGGGTGGCCTTGGCAGTGCTGGGGTAAGGGTTGGACTGGATGAGCTTAAAGGGCTTTTCCAATCCAGTCGTTCTATGAGTTTGTGATTCTATGACCCTATGAAGGACTTTTAGTGTTGCCTTGTATTTCTTTCTGCTCCTAGCCCCAGGGGACATTTGCAGTGCAGAACCTGAGCATTCACCTCTAGCAAGGCACGATGCTATACCTTGTACTGTTATGAAAGGAATCAAATCACAGTATGGGACAAGGTTTGTCTCCTGGCATTATCCCAAGCCTTTAGGCTAACCACCAGAGCTCCCACACACGTGGGGTGCAGCACACGGGCTTGAGCACAGCCAGGTTCCCTGTGCTTGATCCCTGTGCGGGGCAGCCTGGAGGCTCAGGACCCACCTTCACGGCGGAAGGCACTGGGAGCGTGGGGCTCTCCTGCCCCGCCGGCTGCTTGGGGCTGTCACATTGGATGCCCTGCGCTGCTGTGGGGTCCAGTGCGTGGCCATCGGTGCTGCAGGGCTGGTCCTGCACAGGAGAGGTTTGTGTGTGATAGGAGCCAGGACGTGTGGCCGGAGCCAGGGGTGCCTGGGACCCCATTTCCCACAGCCCATGTTGTCCCCAGTCCATCCCACCCCAACAGGTCTATCCCAGTTCAATATCCCTACTCTCCCAGGCCATCCCAGTCTTTCCCACTCCTCTGTCTCCCCAGCCCATCCCAGTCCACCCTAATCACCTCAGCCCCATATCCTCACTCCACCTCCAGTGCAACCCTCAGTGTTCCCCTCTCACCAGCCCCAGTCCTTCAGGTGTGCCCCGCCCATCCACTTCAGGTCCTCCCAGCCTCCCCAATCTATCCCAATCCCTCCCAGTCTGCCCCAGTCCACCCCAGTTCCCCCAGTCTGCCCCAGCTCACCCCAGTTCCCCCAGTCTGCCCCAGCTCACCCCAGTCCATCCCAGTTCCCCCAGTCTGCCCCAGCTCACCCCAGTCCATCCCAGTTCCCCCAGTCTGCCCCAGCTCACCCCAGTCCATCCCAGTTCCCCCAGTCTGCCCCAGCTCACCCCAGTCCATCCCAGTTCCCCCAGTCCGCCCCAGCTCACCCCAGTCCATCCCAGTTCCCCCAGTCCGCCCCAGCTCACCCCAGTCCATCCCACCATCCCCCTGCGGTACCGGCGCTGCCCGGCAGGGGGTGCTGCAGCTCCGTGTCCCCCCCGTTGCCCACCTGAGGCGCGGGGCCCGCGGCGGGCTCTGGGCCCTTGGCGGCCGGCGGCGGCTCGGCGGGGCCCGGGGAGCCCTCGCTCCGCGCCTGCTCCGGGGACAGCCCGTCGTTGCTGCTGTCCTCCTCGAAGGCGAAGGCGTCCGCCGCCTTGGGGAAGCTGACCTGGGTGCCTGCCGGGAAGAAGCGGCGATCTCAGGGCCCTGCGGGTGCACCCACCTCCGTCAGAGCTGGCTCTGAGCGCAGGCCGCCTGTGGGGCTCGGGGGCCTCGGCCTTGCGCAGGGGCAGCGCCTGCGGCCGCCCGTGGCCGAAGTGGGTGTGAGAGGAGGCGGCATCGGCTGCTGGCCCGTAGGGAGGGTGTGAGAGCCTGGCCCGCATGGGCACGGGGTTTGACAGGGCTGAGATGGGGAGATGCCTCTGTCCGCAGGCTTCACCCGCACGAATGCTTCACACTGAGAGCCCCCGACATGGCTTCTCCCCATAGCCGTGCTCTCTGCTGCTCCGGTGGGCAGGAGCCCTTGACCCCCGCCTTCTGCTGCCAAATGAGGCTCTGAAGAAATGCCGGCCTTGTGAGCACCGGAGGCCGCAGGTGGGGGCAGAGGAAGGAGCAGCGGGGCCGCGCTCGCAGTCTCCTCGTGCTCGCGTCTGGCGCTCGTCAGGCGGCTCGGCCCGCGGACAGCGAGGTGACAAAGGGGGAAGTGGGGACCAGCTCCCACCTGCCCCTGCTGCCGCCCTGACCCCTGCCCTATCGCACAGATAACGTTATCGCTGCCTGCTCCGGCTCCTGGGGCCAGGGAGGGCGAGGACGGGGGGAGCCCTGGCTCCCTGCCCCGAGCCGCTGCCCTGCCGCTGTATTGGAGTAGGACGTGAGTCCCGTGGAGAGCCTTTCTTCCTGCTCTCCAGCGCACGGAGCTCCTTGGATGCCCCCTCTCCAGCATCCAAACGGTGTCTTCCCTCCGGAGCATGCAGCCACAACTAAGCCAGCTGATGCAGCGCTGGGGTGGATGAAGGCGTTATCCACCAGAGATGCTTTTGTAGTGGGCACTGGGCAGAGGTTTGAGGCAGAAATGAGGGACTCCATAAATAGAGAGAAAAATTGCAGACAAGCATGGGCATCCTTGCTCTGGGAAAAATGACAACACGCGAGGACTGGGGATGTGCAGGGCTCCCGCTGCGCTGGCATTTAATAAGCACGCGTTTGGAAGTGGTGCCAAAGCTGAAAGCCCAAGGGACCTTTGGGCCACAGCAGCAGCCTGGAGCATGACAGGAATGTGCTGCATCCTGCTGCTTGATACCAGGGGCCTGTGCCGGGTAGGGAATGCTGCCCTTATCTGTCCTGCTCTCACCCAGCCCTTATTGTTTCAGGATCCCATGTCTCTGCTGTAATCTCAGGCAGAATGGTGTTTGCTCGGGGCTGTTTCTAATGCACTGGGTATTGTCCTCTCAAGCGAATTGGACAAAGTGATGACAAGGACCTGGTAAAAAAAGGTTCTTGTATCACGGCTTAGCTATGTAGGGCACTGGCGGCCTCCTGTCACTGGGACGTTAGGGCTTTCGGTTGGGGTCTGGCACTTGCTGCTCACCCTGCCGGAGGTGATTAGAGGAACACGTCAGCTGAACTTTCCACTGTATAAACAGTTGAGATTCCAAGGTTAAAGTAAAATGATTTTAAACCCTGTCATCTTTCTGGTATTGCAAGAACAAAACGTTCACAAGTGCCAGTGCTCATCCCTGCTCTATGTTCTGTCCTTAGCTGTGAGCACCACAAGGTGCCTCTGACCCCAAAAAGCAGCTTGAAGATCCTTCAGCCTGGGACTCTGTTCTGCAGAAACCTGAGGGCTGGGATTGTGTGCCTGGTGCACTTGCACCTCCTCACGGCACCCAACATTACCAAGTAACTTCATGGTTAACCCTAATGTGCTGTATGATTCACCCTAAATGGGGTAAAACTCACAGGGGACAGTTTTTCCTCAGCCATGTGATAGAAGGGCGTTGTGCAAGGGAGAAAGTTCAAATGGATCCATTTTTTTCAAACCAGACTTTTTGTTTTTATCAGTTTTGTCCTGTAAATCTCTCTTTACCACGAGCTCCTGACAAGGCAGCTGGAGGGAAACGCTGTTCCCAGCTCACTTGTCCAGCCTCCAAGCCTCTGCTGCAGTGAATAAAGTCGGGCTCAAACTGTCTCAAATGTTTATAAGGGTGGGGGGGATCTTTATTTTCTGCTGTTCTTCCCTTCAATAAGTGGCTGGGGAGATTTTAACTGAACTCTCATTAAAAGTTCCTCTTGAGGCAGAGTCCTGGAACATTTCACCTCTGAAGAGGAGAGCTGTGAAACGCTGAAAAAGGAGCAGCTCAAGGGCCACACTAGAAAAGCCAGAGCAGGAAAACCAACAGCAGGAGCAACTGTGAGGCACCATAGAGCAGTATTGGAGCCTCATATATCTTGTATCACTTATGCTGGTTTATGAGGTGAAATGAAAGTCAAAGTCCTTCCTGTTTCAATTCCTGTTTTCAGTATCACTCCTGTTGTTCAAACCTCACTCCTGTCCCAGGGCCCTGCCACTGTCCCCAGATTGCTCTGAGCCCCAGAACAGGCACCTAACATGGGATTTTGCCAATGGAAATAATCCCATGAATTGAGGAACCAGGAGCAATAGAACGAGCAGCTCCCATGGGGCACAGCATCTCTCAGATGCTCAAACACAGGCTGCTGTCCTGGTACTGCAGGACTCCACTGGCTTTCCTGCCCCTTTCTTTGCCTTTGGATCTCCCTGTCCTGGTATTGGCCCTGGTGAAACCTGAATCACCTTTTGCTTTGTGTCAGCTCCCACGCCAGCCTCCCTGCAGCAGCACAGGGGGAACGAAAGTGAAGGATTTTGCTTCCATGCTCTGGTTGGGGGGTAGGTGGTAGACAAAACCGAGCTTAGGCATAAGTCAAGTGCTGGGGACTGGTAGGTAGGAGTGAACCCTGCAGTGGGGTGCAGGCTGCTCCTTGTGTTCCCCAGCAGTCTATCACCCCAGGGATGCTTCCTCACCCCAGAGATGCAGCATCCTACTCTGTTGGGCCATGCATCCCACTAACATCAGTGGAAATAAGAGAGAACCGAACTGGAACACTTCACTCCCACCTGCTGCAATGGGAAAGCTTGACAGGGCACAAATGGGCAAACCCAAGCTGGCCTCACAATGTGTGCACCTAGGTCCTCTCCCTCAAGAGGGACGCAAGAATGTTTTGTCTCCCGCAGTATCATTTATGTGCTCAAAGCCTTGGCGAGAGAAGCAACTTAAGAAGAGAGGTCCTGAGGAGCATTTCGCAGTGGTTATTGTTCTGAGATGAGAGCTCTCTTTTCCTAGATCTGGGTAAAATAGCCCAGGCTGTGCTGGACTGGGCTGCTTACTGTGAAAGTAGTTAAATTTAAGTAATAAATGCAGCTTTTAAGTCCAGGTCAGTCACTTCCTGCAGCCGCTGCAGTACATCCTCTTAACCTTGCCAGCCCCGTGCTATGCACACAACACAACATGCACGTTCACTTCCACTACCTTTTATGGCCTCTTTCACAGCGGAGTCGACAGGAATAATATTCTTCTCCACCAGCTCCAAAGGCCCCGGCCTGAGAGCAATCTTTTCATTGAGATCATCTGCCAGTCGGGCTCTTTTCAGCTTCATTTGAGTAGACTGAATGGACCCTTCTGCAGCTGAGTCTAAAAGGCCAAATGGAAGGCATCAGTTTGGGACCTGGGGCACCTCCAAGCACAGTGCACAGTGAGAATGTGCTTTCCCTTCAATGCAGCCAAAATCTGGGCTGCAGCCAGATGGCTCAATGCACAGCAGGAGCTGCTGTGAGGCTGGGAGGCAGAATGCTGGACTGGATGAGGCTGATGGGATTTGAGATATAGGTCCTCCTCTGAGCCTGAGGTCCAACTTCTCATTCCCAGGCAAAAGTCTTTGTCTACTAGCCTAGGCTTGCAAACCCATCTTGCAGCTGGGGCATCCTCCCCAAGGATCAGGAATGATCTGCAATGGAAACTTCATTAACAATTGCACTAATGTAGGGACCAAAGTGGACTCCAGCTCCTGCCTGCTAGGAACCCACTGGCCCTTGCTGGCTAATGCAGCTGGATCCCTGCTTCTGGGGAACAGCTGCAGAAATGAACCATTGACAGTGTTTGACAGATGGAGTAAATGTCTTGCACTGGAAGAAATAAAGCTAAGGTTTTGGGAGTAGACATTTGGAGGCAATGTAACAGCAGTGCTCCAGGACTTCAGGGAAAAAACAAGCTGCAGAGGAGCATAACAAAGGCAGCTAGATCTGGAAGCTACAACCCTACCAAACCAAGCTGAAGAAGTCTATAGTTATTGAGTGGTGATGTAAGAGTAGACAATTAAACAGACATTTCCTGAACAGAGGTCGTCTAGCTCCTCTGGTGGCACAGACTTGAGTAGTGAAGGAGTGGGATTCTGAAACAGACCATGTCTATATCCTTGGGGGTCTAAAGTAAGAAGGGCTACATCTAGCTTGTGCTGTCTTCAAAGACTGGAGACTCTTCTAGAAGAGAGACTGTAGGCAACAGAAGTTACAGGGCTTGATACCATGGAACAGTTCTCTGCAGAAGGCCAGAAGAGCTGATCCAGGGTAACTCCTGGCCTCAGACTATACAGGGCAGTAAACACACTTGAGGTGAACCGTAACAGAAGGTGTCCCTGTAAAGCATTTAGATGATGTGAAGTCTCAGTTGGCCAGTTTCAATCACCTCTAGGTCCTGTTACGAACCACATAGACACGTGAGTCCATGATATGCCAGGGTACATGTCCTGTATGCAGAGGTGTGTGTGGGGCAGCACAGCCAGCTTGCTCAATAAAAAGCCAGGTAGTGTCTGCTCCAGCTCTCCTCTGGCTGTGTCTGCCTGGCCTTGCTTATGCCTGGTGACTGCAGCTGCCCCCACATCTGGTTTATAGTCCCCTAACTCCTCTAGTGCTTCTGTGGTTTAACCTAAGGGAAAGACACTTTCCACCTGATTGATAAACAACCAGTGGTGCTAGCTCACTCTAGGGATGGACAACCAAGGGAAAAGCAAGGCAGGGGCAGTGATCTGGAATGGGTCCCTGCCTCAGCCCTCCTGTGTGGCAGAGGAAAATGAAATACAGACTTCAGCCATGCCAAGAGCAGAGGCCAGCAATTACAGTTGCCAGAGAATGATCTGCTTCTTCCAGGCATCTGACAGGACTACAGGAGAGAGGCTGCACATCCTCCCTGGCTCTAAGGAGCTCGGTATCTCTGGAGATAACAGGGGACACCACAGTGTTCCGCTGTCTGTGATGGGATACAGCAGAGCCATGCCAGCTCTCTGGCTGGGAAGGGACACCAGGATGGGAGAGGGGAGAGGTGCTGTGGCTCACGGACTGGTAGCAGGGCTCACCCTTTTCATATAGCTGTGCTTGGCATGAGCTGGCACATAAAATATCCAGAATTATGGAAAATCAAACGACATCCACCTTTGGGAGGTGTTGCAGCCACCAGCTACAGGGATTTCAGTGCCCTGGACAACTAGTGCCTTGGGTATGCTTTTTGTGAGGGTCACACGTTGGCACCTCTGCTGAGTCCTCTCTTACAGCTCTTCTCTATGGTATTTTATACTGGTCCCTGCCAGAGATGGGAGAATGGTTAGATAACCTTTGGGTGTTACCTTAGGGAATAAATGTGTGTCCTGCCTCCTGAAGACCAGGACTGAATTCTGTACAACATGTGTCCCATTTGAATCTGCCCCTTGTGAGCAGCTGGGACAAAGTTAATCCCAATGAGAGTCCTGAAGGGAAGCCAAGTGGGGCAGGAAAGGCACGAGTCACAAGGCAGGAGACACAAGGAGTATGTGTGAGAAGCTCAGGCAGTCTTACCTTGTAAAATGTGCATATTGACCAGGTCTGATCTCTCAGGCCTGCTTCTGATCTTGTGCTTGAGATAATCTTCAGTCTGCAGGACACAAATGCAGAGAGTTACCTGGGTAGAGCAGCAGTAAGGTACAGAGAGCATCTGCCCCTGTGCTACCCCATGGTTCCTTTGGATTTATTACAATGTTCACTGTACCCACTCCTAAGGTGTCTTGTTTCCGATTTCCCTTCCAGGGTTTCTCACACCTGGAAGTATTACAAGAGCCTATGGGAAGGATGAGATCTATTCAACAGGGTGTGGTGGATCTTTTCCTAGCTTAGCATGCCATGTGGCCTTTGAGAGCTGCACCAAGGCAGCTCCAGAGTGTACGGTTAGCAGTGGTTTCTGTGGCAAGCCTGGCATTCTAGAGCTGAGCAGGCCATGGAGATTCCCAGGCTCTTTACCTGGGTCAGCCATAAGGCTTGGTCTTCCTGCAGCTAAGTTAAGGTACAGGAAGAAATAGGACCAAAAAATGTACCATAGTTCAAAGAGGTTAAAATCTTCAGGATAAATATGAAAGAATAGTACAAGCAGCTGGAGCAAAACTGGAAAACCCGCAGTACAAAATGTACAGGATCACGAGAAAAAGATTTCATAAGGACTTCTGTAGGCATAACAAGGCAATGGAAAGTGCTGTCTGTGTTCCATAAACAGGAGAAATAATTATGCCTGCTGCTGGGATGGCTACAGGATTTAATGCATTTTTAAACCATCCTCCCTAAGAAGATAAATGGCTATTTATCAATCAGATGACTAAGCCAAGAACCTTCAGCAACAAAAGAGAAGAAACCCCAGTTATCAGGTTGAAGAACAGGTTGGAGAATACTCAGATGAGTTAAATATTCGGTTTGAGATACACAAGAGTAATATCTATGGGTCTCCAGGAAACTGGGCAAGGGAGAGCATAATTTCTTGCTTTAAATGAAATGGAGAGAAGAAACAAGGAATTCATAAACCAGTCAGCAAGATATTGGACCAAGCAATCAAACAGCCTCTATAAACAGATTTTGAAGATAGAGAGGAGGTAAGAGCCAGGATGGATTCATCAAGAACAAGCCACATCACACCAACGTTATTTCATTCTATGGAGAGCTGACAAATTTCTGTTACAGGAATAAACAGTGAATGTCATGTAGCTTGACTTGAAGCATGTTTTGACATTATCTCACATGGCTTTCTCACAGGCAAGCCAGAGAAATTTGGTCTGGATAAGACTAACATAAGAAAGGAGTGTAGCTATGGGTCACCAGAGGAATTAGGAACGGCTCACAGTCTAAACAGAAGAATAGATCAAATCACATTACACAGCAATTTTTTCTACTAGCCAATACATTCATTACTGTGTTGGAGGATAGAAGATATACTCCTTAGCTCTGAATCATTCAAGGCTAGCAGATTACAAAGCAACATGATTTGAAGTAATTGAAGAAATGATCTGAAGTAGTTCTGATCCAATTGCAAGGACATGTGGAAAGGACTGCATTCAGGTCACAGCTGATTCTGCACTGGGGTGGATGAAGACTTTATCCACTAGAGATGCTTTTGTAGTGGGCACTGGACAGTGGCTTTAAGCAGAATGAGTTACTCCATAAATAGAGACAAAATATAATGGCTCTGGAGAATCTTGTGATTAGCAGCAGAACCACATTGACCAACAGGCAGCTTTCCAGGAGACACAACAGAGGATTTCAGATGCGCCCTAGGAATAACAACCTCCTGTTCTGTGCCCTGCGTCTGAAAGGGTCCATGCGAAAGGTCTGGATGACAGCTATAGGAATCATTCTAGTGCCAGAGATGCGCTCAGTGGGGAGAGGCCAAAGGGAGGGGAGGTTGGTCAGCCCAGAGGTGAGATGGCTACAGAGAAATTGGGTGCAAAATACTTTTATAAAGTGCTACAAGAGAAAAGCTAAGCAGCTGTGCACATGCATGCATAGAGAAGAGCGAGCCATGGGCTTCAGTTTCAACAGAGCATGGGAAGGGAAGTGGGGCCACTTGCTAAGAGCACAGGTTAGAGAGCTATGGGTGGGCTGGCTGTTGGTGGTCAGGGATGACCCAGACAGGGGTGGCTGCTCTGGGGCAGAGCAACGACAGCTTTTCCTCCCTGCCATGCTTGCTGGGTGCGGGAAGGAAGTGCTCAAGCCCTGCTGAGCCTCAGGGAAGTCAGCCTGCTCCTTGTCCTCTGACCCACCAAGCTCTTATGAGACACTGACTTCAAAGGCTGTGCACTGGCCTGATGCCAGCCTCTAACGTTGCCAGTGACATGTTTAAACAAATAACAGACATTTTATTTACTGAAGTCTTTACCGTTCCATACCCTTCCCCTGCTAGGTTTTCCCCAACTTATTTTCACCAACACAGTCCCTTGCTTGGACCATGTGTATGTTTGCTGGTTCCTATGAAAGACAGAGCAAGCTGGTGTCTGCACCTGAGTGCAGTTAAATTCACCTCATACATTTCTAGCTAATCCTCGGGTCAGGTCCTGACTTGGGCTAAGCTTGAATTGCCTCCCTACAGCTGTGGCATTGTCCTTGTCAAACCCAGCATTCACACTGCATTACCCTGACTTTCTGCTCAGGTTTCAGTTCCTCTTGACCTTTGCTCTTTATAAGCTGCGATTGTGTCACTGGGGTGCAAATGGCGGAGAAAGACTTCAGATGTGTTTGAGGTCTATTTTAGTGTCAGTTGAAACAGAAGAGCCTTCAAAACACATGAAAGCAGTTCTTGTTATCTGCTTTCTGTTTGCAGAACATCAGTTTGGAGGAGTGTCGGCTAAGCAACAAATGCCATTGAGCAAGTATCTGGAAACAGCTGCTGCTCTTTCCCTGTCACAGTTCGAAGCAGGGCATCCTTGCAAAGGAGTATGTTTGTTCTGGGCTGTGCTCATTAATGTTTTGATTAGCATGGTCTGAAAACACAGTTTGGGATAGACTAGAGCATCCTTCGCTTTCCCTAGGCAAGTAGCCAGTGAAAGCTTTTGGAGAGAAAGACAAAGAGACACAGATGTATACTTGAGCTGTAAAATATGTGACACTTCAGGGATACTTTGGATTGCTTGAAATTCTGTAAGCACACCAATTTTTCAGAGTCATGCTGAGTTTCTTATGCTGGCCGTTTATTACCACAGGAGACTCAGGGCAACTGATCTGGAGTGTGTTTAAGTTCAAATGAACACTCCTCCATGTTTCACAATCATTCTTCCTTACAAAAGTCCTTTCTTATACACAGATTAATGGAACAAACTGTTTGTGTTCAAGCAAAACCTGCATGACCGTGTTCCCTTTTTCATGGACATCCCTCCAGTTCAGCCAAGGCTGGGTGGCGGGTGCTTGGAAAACGGATCTGATTTCCCCCAGAGTGGTATCATCTCAGGGTTTCAATGTGTTCTGGAAATGCCTACTTATCTCTGCCTTCAGCAATATTTAGGGAAGCCTGAGTGCAGCTAGATAACAGGGCCAGAGGGAGCCTGGCCCACTTAGCCCCTTGGATGTTGTGTGTTGTAATAGCCATGCTGCACTGCAGAGCTAAGAACCAGGCTCCTGCCTGATGACAAATGTGAGTTCCCTGGGGACTCGCTCCGGGTGACAGAGGGCATCTGCAGGCCTCCTGCACGCTTGCTGAATACTTGGGCTCCTTCAGCCTTGTTTGCTGCTGGGCCTGCTCTAACTCTGCTGAGGAGTGGACACCAGTCAGTGCCATGAAGAGTGGGCTGTGGACCTGGTCCACTTCAGCAGACTTCAGCTGCTTGGATGTTCACTGGAAGGACTGCTGATGCTGTGTGAACTGTTCCCTGCCCACAGTCTCTTGTGAACTCCAGGTGATGTTGTAAAACCCCATAGCTCAGGGCACAGATGCTCCAGAGCATTTTTGAATCCTGGCCTGGCCCCACCATGTCTGGAAGCAGGGGAGATGCTGTGACCCTCACCTTTGGCCACAGGGCTTGAATAAAGGATGCCAGAGGAGGGGGCAATGGTGGAAAAGTGCTATCAAACCCCACAAGTAATGCAAAGCAAGCCCACGTGTCCCCTCACTGGGGTGGCTGCAGGAGTTACCTTGGCTCGCTCCAGACTTTTTCGCTGTTCATGGAATGAGGATGGGCTTTTCAGTGCTGCAACAGGAAAGAGAGAGGAGCAGTCAGCACAGGAGTGGAAGCAAGCAGCTACCAGGATATTCAGCAACAGCATTTTAATGAGGGCTATATAAATAGCAACACAAACTAGCCGTTCCCTTTATTGCACCGACTAAAAATAACTCAGGAAAGCTCTGGGAAATCCCTTGCTCTCAGCCAGTCCATGGATGGAGAGCACAGGGGGCACAGGAGGCAAATGGGCAGGGAGGGGGTGTGGGCTTTGAAATGCAGTGCTCTGTGGGACACATCAGAAAGCAGATATGGCCTTTCCTTGGAGTGCTTCCTGTAGGTCATGGAAGGCACCAGAGCCCCAGAAGACAGATGTGGGATGAGCTACAGCCTGAGAGGGGACCTCATCTGCAAGGAAAACCTGCAGGTGATGGAGACTTGAGGCCAGCGGGAAAACTGCCTGGCCTCTACCGTGCTCCAGCAAGGGAATTTCAGTGCAAGGTCCCTTGTCCCTCCTCCATCGCTGACCTCCCCTCCATAGCTCACTGGATGTTGGTCCTGTCCTCTGCCCAGAAGCGTCTGTGTGACTTGGGGCCTCCCTAAGCAGGCAGCTGCCCGGTCATCTACCAGGCTGCAGACCATGCCCTCAGCATGTTCTGACACCAAGGAGGATTAACCCACATGGGGTCCCAAAAAACAGCCAGTGATCCCTGGCTCTAGGACCAGTGAACACCAGCCCCATGTAGGAGTCTGTATTGGAGTCATGGAGAATCTTGAATGTTTCCTTGTTTACTCTGGATCACTAGAAATAGGAGTGGAATTTGCATGGTGAAGGGGTTAATATTTCTGAGATCCTGCAAAAATTCTATTCTGGCTGTATAAGAGGCAAAATTAACTGTTCCCATTGGAACAGGGAAGGGGAAGGTGTCCTGACCCACAAAACCAGCCTGCTACAACTCTGTTTGGCAATAGGAATTCCCTTTTGATCTTCTGAATGAGATCCAGTAAGGAGAGAAACTGTTTCCACATAGGACATTTTATCCTCCATCAGTCTAGAGGAGGAGGAAGAGAAGACTTGGGACAGATGGGAAATGTTTGGGGGCCCTCTGTGTTGGCTTTTGTTAGGCAACCCCCACCGTAACCCCTATAAACCCCAGTAAATCACAGTAAACCACTCTGTAAGCCCATTCCTGCTCCTAACATGGGAAAGCAGACATACAGACAAGCATTACTGTGCCATGCTCCAGTGAGCAGCCGTGAGGACTTGTGAGGTTTAATCAGAAGCAAACTAAAATGATGCACACAAGAACATGAAGTTAGCAAGAGAGATGACTTTTCCAGCCCCGCTCACTGTGAAGAACTGACATAGGGAGTGTGCTATGGGCATCGACCAAACGCCGTGCTCTTCAAGAGGAACATGTTGCAGAATTTAGTAATTTACCAACATTTTTGGAGGAATTATGTGGATGCTGCAGCTTGTATTAGTCTGCAAAACAAACAGAGACATTGCTAGCACTTGTTATTCAGACAACTTGTCATGGATGACCCGTCAGCTTGAAATGGCTGAGGGTCTGGAGGTAACAGGGCAGAGTTGCTGTGCTTGGTGTTGATAATCTTGGGACTGTTGCCTCTAAGGTTTCAGTTAGAGGATGAGGTGGTGGCTGTGTACAGCAGGAGTCTTCAAGCACAGCTGTTTCTCAGCCCATCACTCTATTGGGAGCCTTGCCTTGAGGGGAATCCTTGATACTGCAAGCTGCTTCCCCTCCTCCAGGGTAGGTGCCCAGGGTCTGGCTGGGGCCTGGGGCAGGTGTCTGTGCGGGTCTAGAGAGTGGGGTCACCCATGCTGAGCCCCACAGCATGTGTTTCTACAAATGTCCCCACATGTTCTTGGTTTAAAATGCTTTAGCTGGGCCTCTACCAGCTTCATCAAGACAATAAAACCGTGTGTTGGTGCATGAACTGGAAACATCCTACTGAGTGAGCCTGAAGAAGAGGGCAAGCTCTGCTCTCACCTGCACATCTCCTGTGCATCAGAAGCTTGCTGTGTGCCAAAGAATCTGATTTCCCTTTGCTCCCAGAGGATCCTCCATACACAGAGTCACAGGGCTGCAGGAACTCAGAGGCTGCTCTTGCCTACCAGTCTGTGCCTGTCTCTATTGGTAGATCCCTTTTCAGCAGTGTGGATTGTTTTGCCAGCCAGTTGTTCAATTTACAACCTGAAAACATCTGACAATCTGAGTCCAGCTTTGAACCTGAAGCCTTGTGCAATGCTACTGCTCCTGAGCATCCTCCCTTAGGCAGTTTCCTGCCTTCTCCAGTGATGAGGCCATCTGAAGGTTTCACATTTCTTAGAGGAACATCTGGGGAAGTATGGTCAGAGCTCAGGTATGTGATGAAGTTGATCTTTTCCAATCAAACTAAGTACAGACTAGGCTTTGGTAAGGATATTCCTTTTACTGCTATGCTCAGGTAGCACTGATACTTCTCCCTGTGCTGTTCTCTTGGATGCCAAAACCCAGCCAGGTTCCTAGGATGTATTCCAGTGTTTCATGTTTGCTGTGCTACAGCTGCACTGCTGAACTCAGGAGGCTCTGCAGATAGTCACCAACTCCCTCAACCCCCCTTCCCACAAGGCTTTCTACAACCCTCAAATCTTTTATCCAATGCTATTCTCTTACTCTGACCTTCTGTCTCTCTGGTGTCTGTATAAAATGCATCACTTATAAAAACAAACTTTCTCTGTCCTGGGATTGTATCAGCAGAAAATGTATGCAATGGGTTGAAAGCAATCCTTGTGCAAAATCCAGTGTGCAATGTGGGATCAGGTGCATGCTCCAAGCCTGATACCAAACCTGACTCTCACCATGGAGACCAGCAATGCCCATCTTTACTCTTTCCAGAAGGGCAATTCTCAACCACTGTGGGTTGTAGCCCTGTGGGTTCATTTCTTGCCCTCCTGCAATACATGTAAAGTAAGGTCCTGTCCTGGTGCAACACCTAGAGCCAACCTCACCCGCTGGTCTTCAAAGGCAACAGGGCATGGAAAGTTACCACAGAACCCCAGCCTGGTTTGGGTTGGAAGGGACCTTAAAGCTCCTCCAGCTCCAACCCCTGCCACAGGCAGGGACCCCTTCCACTGGAGCAGCTTGCTCCAAGCCCCTGTGTCCAACCTGGCCTTGAGCACTGCCAGGGATGGGGCAGCCACAGCTTCTCTGGGCACCCTGTGCCAGCGCCTCAGCACCCTCACAGGGAAGAGCTTCTGCCTAAGAGCTCAGCTCAGTCTCCCCTCGGGCAGGTTCAAGCCATTCCCCTTGCCCTGTCCCTCCATCCCTTGTCCCAAGCCCCTCTCCAGGTTTCCTGCAGCCCCTTTAGGCACTGGAGCTGCTCTAAGGTCTCCCCTTCAGGAGCCTTCTCTTCTCCAGGCTGCCCCAGCCCAGCTCTCTCAGCCTGGCTCCAGAGCAGAGCTGCTCCAGCCCTCGCAGCAGCTCCATGGCCTCCTCTGGACTCACTCAAGCAGGTCCACATCCTTAAAGACTTGTTTTCCATAAGGAATGACTGCACGTGCCCAAGCCATGGGGAGTCTGGCTGGGGCTCCCATGTACTAAATGCTGACGCCTGATGCTCCCTCCGGAGGTCAAATGCAGCAGTTAAATTTTACGCGTTTGTTTTTCTAATGGCAAAAGTGTCTTGTCTTCTATTACTTTCAGGGAGTGAACTGTGCTCAGGCTTCCCAAAATGGCCTTCTTGGACAGAACCCAGACTGCAAAATGTCAGAGTAGAATCTGGGAGTGCAAAGAAGTCATAACTAACAGGAAAATACCCTTCAGTTGCCATCAGATAAATCTGGTTTAATATGTGGTCTGCAGTGTGTAAGGATTTCAATGTTAGGTGTCAGTCCCATGCACTCAGTGTGCAGAGCAGTGTCAGGTATTCAGGCCTCTTAGTTGGCACTAGTGCTCCATACGTGTGCACAGGGGTGTCCTGCACCTTATCTGAGTATTCCCATTTTTAGAGTGGGCTTCCCAGTTCAGGAGATGTCAGATGTAGTTTTGGCCACTGACCCTATTTCCAGTGCTTGCAATACTATAACAAATGTCACTCCTGGAGTCCTGTGGTTAGAATGCTTGCCTAACCCTAACCCTAACGCTTTCCTTTTGGTGGCAGCCAGCAGAAAATCTGAATGCTTAAAGGAATAGAGAAGGTAAATAGGAAGAACACACATTTATCCATCTGAAAACCATAATGATGATTTTGACAGTCATGATTTTTGTCTTCCTGCTCAAGTTTTCTTAGTGTTTGCTGGCAACTGTACTGAGGTGTCCATTGCTGGCTAGACTTGACACAGTCCTTTAGGAAGGCAGCTGCATGGGAAGGGCTGAGGGCTGCACAGGGTGCAGCAAGCAGTGCTAGAGCTGTGCTCCTAGTGATTTGTTCTGCTGTTTAGACAAGAGCTGCATCGAAATCTTCAAGGTCAGCCGGAAGAGACAGAAGTGACACAGGCTTTGGAAAGTTGTAGTCTTAGCAGTGAACACTAACGGACCCTGGTGAGACAGGGTAAGTCTCTACCTGGGTCCTAGGTATCACAGATTAGTGCCCATGGAGCCTGAGCTAGGTCAGGATGGAGCTATCCCATCATGCCTGAGCTGCCAACAGCTTTTCTCTGGTAGCACTGCAGGTTTCATGATGCATGTGCAGGTGCAGAAGGGGATCATGTTCATTCACTTACTTTTTGGGATCTAGCAACTAGCTTTCTGATGCTGAATGAGCACATGATAATGCTGGAGCTTGCTCTTCAGTCTTCAATGCCAGCTTGAAAAGGATGGATGTGGTCAGAGAGGGGAAAGCATGGACATCATTTGTCTGCAGCAAGAAGGCCCAGGTGGGGTTTCACTGGCCTCAGGTATACACTGACAGTTCTGTCCTGTGGGGTCCTGGCTGGGCACAGGCACAGGTCTGGATATGTCTCACTCATAGAAGTGCACTGGGGCCAAGGCAGTTACCCACCACTTCCTTCTTCCACAGCCTCTTGGAATGGGCTCTCTCTACCTCTTCCTTGTTCTGTGGGTCTGGTCCAGCCACAGAGGGTCTTGGCTTTCACAGGAATACATGAGATTCTCTGCCTTTGCCTACATGAAGAGCTTTGTGAGTCTTGTGCTTGGAGCTGGGTATTCTAGTCTGCTACAGCGACCTCAGGGACAGGGAGCTATGCACCTGAAGCTTTGGATGCTGTAAGCTAAGCACCTCTCCTGACTTCAGTTTGAGCAGTGGCATTATAGTCTGTGTGGCAAATGCTGGGCACTGTTGCCCAGCAACAGGAACTCCGATATTTCTATGGGGCAGGAAGCAAAGTCCCCCTGGTAATAACCTGCTCAGAGCAGAGTGGGTCTGAGCAGGCAGCTGGTGCCACAGCATGCTCCAGCAGTGCCCAGGATGAACACAGGAGTGGGTGACAAGGCACAAACAGGTACTCACGTGGCATGATGCCTTGGTCTGCCAGCTGCTCGCGGGTCCTTCTCTGCTGAAGCCGTAGCTGCAAAACTGTAAGAGAGATGGTGTCAGGAAAAGAGGCAGGATTTCAACTCTTCCCTGTGAGGGTGCTGAGGCGCTGGCACAGGGTGCCCAGAGAAGCTGTGGCTGCCCCATCCCTGGCAGTGTTCAAGGCCAGGTTGGACACAGGGGCTTGGAGCAAGCTGCTCCAGTGGAAGGGGTCCCTGCCTGTGGCAGGGGTTGGAGCTGGAGGAGCTTTAAGGTCCCTTCCAACCCAAAACAGTCTGGGATTCTGTGATTCTATGCCAATGTGCCATGGGTCTCTGTGTGGCACAGAGCTCCGGCACAGAGCTCTGCTGCTGCTGGACCAGCCTTGGTGCAGCAGAGTGCTCCAAGTCAAGGAGGAGCTGCACAGGCTGAACCACCCTCATCCTCACTGCTGCAGACAGATGAGCTGTGCAGGGCTGCTTCTGGTCCAGGCAATTCCCTAGTGCCTGGGTCAGGCTGATCCCTGGCTGGCACCGGTGATGGGTGATGGCAGCCTCGGGTGGCCATGGCTTAGCTCAGATAGCTGCTCAGTTGTGAACCCTGAGGCTGGGAGGTTCTCCCTCCTGCCAGCACTGTGGGTTGAGTAGAGTTGTCCAACTCCATGACTCTCCTGAGGGCCTGGCAGTGTAATTCCATCCCTGCAAGGCTCAGCACTGGATGCAGACAGCCTTACTGTTCCGTGGGGGATGTAGATGATGTGGTGAGGAGAGATTAATACCATCTCTGTATGAACCCACTGCCCCAGGGACCTGCAGTCTCCAGTATAACTTGGTTTTGGAAACAATGCACTGAGAGATGGGAATGAACCACTGCTGAGGGTCACTGTGTGGCTTAGCAGCATGGCCTCAGGTACAGAGCACTGATGAGCCATCTGATAAAGAAGCAGCTCTCAACATGCAATGATAGCCCATCATACACCTGCAGCTTGCCTAGTGCAATGCTACCTGCCTCTGCTTGGCCCAGGACAAGTCAGTTCATTCCATCACTCAGGTAACCCTGTACTTTGACTTAGGATCATATTTTACACCTTTGCTTTTGCATATTTGTCTTCAGGAAGACAGGTACTTGTATCACAAGGTGAAACACAGAGCTCACTTCTGTATTTTCCTGCTGGAAGCTCAGTACAGCTTGCCACAAGGACAAGTATTGGTCAGTGGTCACAATAGAAGTGCATGCATATTCCCTGCACAGCCCCAGGATGCATCCCCTGAGCTGACTGTAGAGAGGTGCTATTGGAACTGGAAGAGAGGAAGAACGGCCTTTTAGTCCTCAAGAGCAACCTGCTGAGCTCTGCCACAGCTCATGTCTACAGTGCAGCTTCCCCTTGATGTGGATGGAGCTGAATAATAATCCCTTCCAGATGACTTCCCAAAGCACAAGGTCCAATTAGATGCCACTGCCTGTGACTTTCCATGTCCTTTGCACAAACCATGCCTCACATTCAGATCAAGCGTTTGGTAAAGGCCTCACATGGGACCATGATCTGCCAAATTCCAGCAGTTCTTAGGACACTAAGGATAGATTCTTGCTGTGAGGGAAATGCGCATCCTTCAGTACCTGGTAAAGTCTGGGTGTGTGCAGTGAGCTGTCAGCAAGGCCTCTTTCAGAGAGAAAGAAGCTATACACTCCCTTGAAGCATAGCTCAGAATGATGGTTATGATGTCCAGTTTTGGTGGCTGTAAGTCAGCATTGCCTTGATGTAAGAAGTGCTGAAAGCATGTGTAGGTTTCAGTGCCATGGCTCTCCCTATGCTTGGATCCAGGAGGAGCACTCGAGAGCCCAGGTTTTCCAATGCTACTCCCTTCCAGCAGCCAGTGCACAATCCAGGAGAGCCTGGCTAACAGCCTCTGCTTTGGCCCCTGCGCTGAGCACTGCAGAGAGACCCTCACAGAGGGCACCTGATGTTGTTTAATAATCATTTTGTGCAGAGGGAAAAGGTTTCAGAATTGTGTTTCATGCTGATGGGCAGAAAGGCTGCGACCCAGCAATGACACAAGCTGTTCTGGCTGTGAGAGCTAAGCTCTTGCATGGGTGAGTGGCTATGGGCAGGCCATGCTGACAGAGAACATTAGGACAGGAGCAGCCCAAGCTTGCTGGTTGAAACAGTTATTTCAACCATTGCACGCTCATCCATATCTGGTCCTCCTTCTGTGGTGGGATGCATGCTTTGACTCCCTCATACCATCTCCATGAACTTCCAAACCATCTGAAGAAACATAGCTGTGCACAGTGCCCAACAATAACACCGAGCATCCCTGCAGGAAAAGGTAAAGCAGCCACCACTCTCGGCAGCCTCTGAGTCCACGCTGCAGCTTGCGTTTTGGTGGATGCCAGCTCAAGGCTTGCACCTTTCCCTTACAACCAACAATGCTTCAGAACAGGGCTGGAGGAGCCACTGGTACCATCCAAACAACCAACATGCAGCTTCTTCTTGAACAGGACTTGGGACCTGTTGAAGCTGTCTCTGACACCAGCTTCACTCCTGTTCCCTTCCTTTGCTACATGTCTGAGCTCTGAATGCTGCTGGGACTCACTCTAGGATGGTGTCAAAGGTTTTTTTGACTATTCTTATTTTTAAAGGAAACTGCTTTGCTGACGCTTCAGAGGAACATTTATGTTCCAGAGAGTGATGGCTGGAGCACTGATGAGACAGTGTTGGTCCCACACACCCAGCATCCTTGTTGCCTGCCTGCACCAGCTTGGATGGGGAGAAGTACCCCCAGGGGAGCAGTCATCCACACTGGTCACCCTGTGGCACCATCAGCTCAGAGACAGCTTTCAGCAACCTGCTCCTTCTTCTGGTACCCCATGGTGAGAAATCCCTCCCTTGGCGATGCGAGGCACATCACAGCTATTGCAGTGATTTTTCTGTCAGAAATACCCCTCTTTTCTGTGTTAGCACCGTTCTAGTGATCAGGCTTTCAGAAACAGCCTGTGCAGTGGGGCTGTTATCAGTGCAGAGAAGACCTCCTGTCGTCAGTCACTCTGGTGGCCCAAGCTCTGAGCACTGCCCATGACTTGAATCCTCCTCCCCAGCAGTTCACTCCAGAGCTTTAGAAAGCTCATCTTGGTGATCTTAAAGGTCTTTTCCAACCTACTTGATTCTGTGATTCTAAGAGACAGCTTGGGCCTTGCCTAGCCTGATGATGCACTGGAAAAGACATGTTCCAATCCTCCCTCCACCCCAGGAGTGGGCAGACCTCGCCTTCTGCTTCAATCTGCAGGGCACTTTTAGTCCCGTGCTCAGCACCCTGTCAGGATGGGACTGTTCTCACCTGCACCATCAGATTGTCCCCCATGCTGGGGCATTGCTGGAGCACTCATAGCACCATCCTCTCTTTGGGGAATCAGCTTTACTGGGAGCTGCTCTCCATGCGGGGTTAAGGACTAGAGCAAAGCCATGGCTGACCTCACTCTGTGCTGGTGACGGTCTGTGTCTGAGAAGGAGGTTCTCAGAGCTGTGCCTTCCCACCAGCACTTGTGTAGCAAGCAGGGCATGTTCCCTGGAACTCTGAGGCTTTCTCAGCAAGCAGCTCTATAGGATGAGCCACCCAGGAGGAGCTGCTGCTTTACTTCCAACCCAGCATGAGTCCCTATCTCAGAGAGACCCCCTGGCAGTGACTGGGGCAGAGTCCGCACTGCTTCAGCTCTTCCCAGCTCTCCTAGGTGATTTCAGGTGAAATCCCATTAACTGCTGGTTTCCTCCCTTCCAGCACTTTTACTCTCATTTGGAACCACATTCACTCCAGTGCCATTGCTGTGCAAACAGGTCACTGCTGCTCCCAGAAATGATGGTCAGGCAGTTGCATGCTCATCCCTGCATCTTGTGCTGCTCCTGAGCTGTGTAGTGGAGGGGATGAGCAGAAGCACCACATTGCACTGGCTTCACCCAAGCTCATGAACTTGATGGCACTCAGCAGTTTGACAAAGAGCAGCAAATCACTGTCCTCTCTGCAGCCACCCCAGCAGCTCGTTCCTGCTGGGCTTTGATGGGCAGCTCAGTGCTGCCCAGGATGGGGCCAGGGGGAGCTGGCAGCAAATTGGGAATGGGGTGATGGGGAGGACAGACTCCTGTTTTGAACAGCAGCAGCTTTGTTGCCTGTCAAACAGCAGCTGAGCAAATGTGGAACATGTGTTTGTCCATGGCCGTGGTGTGGGCCAGAGGAACCTGGTGGCTCTCCCCTGCTCAGGCACTGGCTGCAGGAAATGGCCTATTTTGCACCCATCCTCCCTTGAAAGGCAGGGCTGCTGCTGGCTTTGAGGATGTCTTTATAGGTGATGTCTGAAGCTTTCTTGTTTGAGCATGTTAGGAGGAGAGAAGCTGCCCAGAGGGAGATGCAAGTGGGACCCTTTGACTGTCCCGAGGCCCCAGCAGGATAGGAGCAGGGCTGGCTTGGTGCAGGCATGTTGCTTGTCATCTTTTTCAGGCTGCGGCTGTTTCCTGCAGCTATGTCAGGAGCAGGATCTTGTATTCAAAGCAGGATGTCCACATGGGCAGGGCAGCCTGGAGCAGGAGTGCTCAGTCATAAGCAATAAGCTGACATCAAGCTCCTGACATGGAGGCTCTACTTGAATGAATGTGGAGTCACTCTGAGGTGGATGACACTGATCTGTCATAGGAAGAGACATAGGCCCACACCTGACTAGCAAATGAGCACGTCACCACTAAAGAGAAATCACCTCTGTATTCATCATAACATGCAACCCCAACCTCACCATGATCCTGTCATCAGCCCTCCTTGGGGTCATACCTTCAGCATCCCTGTGAGCAGCCCATACACCCTTCTGCTCAGGCACAGTGAGGTACATGTCAGCCTGTGCTATAACACATGCCTGACCAAGAGAGAAGCACATGGCTGTCAGCTGAACCTCCAAGGTATAAGATGAAGCCACCAAGGTACAAGCTGCCAGAAAACCAAAACCAAGCACAAACTGATGTACATCAAGTCCATGTTTTACAACAACTTCATGAAACAGTGTCACCGGTCATAGAGAGGCCATGGTTTGGACACACACTCTGGTTGTGGGCTGCACAAGTTCATGGGCTGAGGGGAAACACATGCACACTCTTCATCTTTGAACACCAGGAAAATGAAAATAAAGCTTCTGCCAAACTGCCTGCCCTGCCACCCCACCAAGCCCTACTTTCTTCTGCCTTTATTAACCTGCTGGTTTTGGTCTGAATCATCCTCTCCACCAAAGGCAGACAGAATAAAATCCTCTCCCACCTCACCCAGCTTCATTCAAGCCCTGTGTGCAAGCATGAGCCCTCTCCTCCATAGAGCCAGGCAAGTCTCCTCTGCAGTTCACACCATGTGTCCACAATTAGGCCTGGGTATTACCCCATGCCAAGCCATGCAGAGCCATATTTAGGGTGTTAAAATTTCACTTCTCACCAATTATCTGAACCACCACTGATGTTATGCAGATGTTGGCCTTGTAAACTCTCATTTCATATCTCTGGACAGAAAAGGTCAGAGTTAAGGTTAAGTCTGCGTTTGCCAGCTTTGTTTGCTCTGCCCGATGACAACGCTTCGCTGCTGGAGTACAATTGGTTTGTATTCAAAGCAGGAGAGCACATAAATTATTGTCTCTGGGAAGAGTTAAATATGTTTCTGGAACAGCCCGTAGATGTCCTAGTTGATTTAGTGCAATCCCATTGACAATTGGAGCACATGGGGCAGCATGGCAGGCTTGAAGGATCGGCATTCCTGCAAAATTTGTCAGGATGACCTCAGATCAGTGCATTTGTCTTTGGAAAAAGAGATAAAACAAATGCGTACACAAATCCTCCAGGAAGGGGAGGGGGAACCCGAAGGCCTGCAGCATGGTGGTGATTTGATCTATCTCCTCTGGAGTGGTTCCTGGTGCCCTGCACTGGGGTAGCTACTGTGTGTCCACACTGCATGGCTGTGCAGGCACTGTGAACCACTGGAGAGGGAAGAGCAGGAGAAAACACTGTGGGATTCAAGGCAGCATTGCTGGGCACTGTGTGAAAGAGCCGCTGCCTCCACCAGATGAGCCATTCTTGGACAAGCTTGCTCTTGTTACTGATGCTTCCAGATGGAAGCAAGAGGCAGGAAAGCTGACACTTATGCCACTCTCGGAGGTACATCTATGTGCCACCATCTTCTAGTTGCCACATCCTTTCTCCCCTTTCTGCCTATGTGCGCCACAGAGATTAAAGGGATTCTGGGATGAGGAAACAACAAGTATGTCATAGATCTCTAGAAGCCTCTAGCACACACAGGTCTTGCTCAGTGTGTACAGGCCATGGAGAGACAGGAAAAGTTTAGTTACTAAGATTTACTTCAGCCCTCGTTAACATTGGCCTGGAATCCTTCAAAGGGGATCCAGGCTCACCATGAGTCATGGAGCACAGCTAATCCTTTCCAAACCTGGGAGCAAGCGAAGCCTCACACCTGCTGGCACAAGACCCTTTCCAAAGCAGCACCACATCATGAGGCATCCTTATGGCTTGGCATCGCAGGGTCTGATCCCTCCTGGCTTGTCCTTTGCATGCTGTGTGCAAGCTACACAGCTCCCTGTGCTGCTGTCCTGTAGCGTGTCAGAGCCCCTGAGCCATGCAGGGGGGTGTGGGGCAGGGTGATGGGTTGTTTGAGGGGTTCATCTTTCCTCCAAGTGAATGGAGGGCAGTAAATCGGAGTACTGCACCTCCTGCCGTACTTGCAGGGCTTCACAGCTACTGAAGCCTGCACATGGAGCAGGGACACCAGAGTAAACTCTGTCCCATAGAGACCTTACATATAAGAGATTCGGCCACTTCTCATTTGACATTTGCTTTTCTCCTATATTCCTCATGTTACTAAAACCGCAGCAGCATTATGAAAGCAGCATTATTGATGTATTTGTATTCCTCTGCATCCTGCTGTCCCTCTGTGTCTCACAGACTGCAGTGACCAGGGCTGTGCTATAGCCACATCCCGCGCTACCTGCAGCAGTCCCAGCAGTAGGGAGGCAATGTGGGGAATCCCAAATCCATACTTGGGATTTTGGCAAACCCCACTCAAACAAAATAAATAGGCAGAGGAATCTTGTCGAATGGGAAGCCGCCATGCAACAGTGAGGAATGGGAGTTGTGGGAGTAAGTCATGAACTAAAGAATGCCCCACAAATTGACTGCCCTAGAAATGCTGAAAGGCACGAGAATTTATGGACGTAAAGACCCGCAAAGTTTACTTTTACTGGAGAATCATTCGAAAAACATGTTTAGAGATCCCATTGTTGGTTCCAACATAAAGCCAGCTTACAAATAAACCAGAAACGAGTCTTAAAACCAATACTGGTTCATTTGAAAAGAATGCAGGGACATGTAACAGAGCCCACGCTCCTCTCGTCAGAAAGGTGGCAGTGTTGCTTTGGAGTTGCTGGAGGAATAGTTAGATTCTTTTTCAAATGAACAGCCATGTACCATAATATACCAACAAAATCTAAGGAATGACTTAATCTAATGAAATGTAAGATCAGAACGATATGGAAACCACACCAAAGCCCTGGACCCAAGTTCTGTATAATTCAGCCAGACTAGGACACTTGTGTTTGCACACACACTCTTGGGTTTTCAGCCAACTGCCAACTTTGTATTTGCTGAGAAAACAAAGTTTAAGTTGACCACCCAGCTATCTAAGAGATCCCGATAACACCACTCATGTCTACCATCAGTATCATAAATCTCTCATTTCATTATCTACACTGCACAAGGAGGCAAAAATACACACACAGTGTGGGTGACAGGCCAGCGTGACTGCCCTGTCCGGTTTTACAGCATCCCGTACGGCACACGCAGCTGGGTTGTCTGAACATCCTCACAGGTTATATCCACTTCACCTCTGGGAGGTTCAGAGAAAGCCCGTCGAGAACATATCTTTGACATGATCATTAATATTACAGGATGTTATGGTCATTGCAATTCCAAGATACCCACTCACAAACCCGGCATACTTACTATAAATAAAGCCAGTGAATAAAGGCACGAATATCCAGCAGAGGGTCTGGTTTAGAAGTGACCGTCCCATAGTTCACCTTCACTCACCTTCACTCACGCTGAGCGTCCTCTGAGAAGCCCCGTACTGGTGCTTCCCCTAACTTAGGAGACAGAGGCATGTTTTGCTTGCAAAGCCTCCGAGAGCGGCAATCAATTGTGTGGCTCTGGTTTTATTTCTCTGATGATGTCACTTTAAATACTTTTCATGTTCCATTTGTTATTTTTACTTCTAAAAATGACGCATTTCTTCAAATTCATTTTTCTCCAATTAGTCACGACTTAATGGCCCAAAGGCAGCTGCCTGCATGGCAGAGGGGCTGCCGGGCCCGTCCCCACTGTGGCTCTCACAGACAGACCCACATGAGCACCTGGAGTATACAGACGGCGTTAGGTGCCTTGTTTATCCCAGATGCCCTTTTGGCTTCCTGCCCTAATCCTTTCGCAGCAGGGCCAGGGCAGGAGACCCGGGAGCTGCAGTTTTACCAGGATAAACCACAAACAGAGACCGGAGTAAATGAAAAAACAGGAGGAAAACAAGAGAAAAGAAAGCAACGGAAAGGCAGCAGAGAGGAAGGAAGATGCATTTCTCCACTTGTGGAATCGCCTCTGTAAGAGCAAAGCCGTGACAGCTCTACGACCCCTTGAGTATGTTACTCACATGCTGCTTCCAAAACATTCAACGCAAACCAGCCTGTGGGCACGGCTTGCCGAGAGAGAAGTTTTAAGAGAAATCTCAAGGTTTCCCCTACCTGATCTGAACTTGCTCCGAATCAGCAAGGAGTGCTCAGACCCCAGGAGTGTCATGGTGACTCGGGGACCAGCTCCAGACGCCCCTCACTTAAACCATTAACTTCCTCCAACAGGGAAAAGCCGACCAGACCACGGCTGGTGCTCAGGATTCATCCAGCTCTCCTGGCCTCTCGGGGTGCTTTTACAGCGGGTTGGCAAGAAGCAGCAAGTGGCTTTGCAAGAGTTGGTCCCATCCAAGCACTGACCCTCCACAGACACCAACTGCTCCCCCTGTGCTGGGTTGAACTAATGAACGTGGAGCTGGCGGGAGCCTCCTCCCGCCCGGAGTTTACTACCAGCAGCCGGGTGTCCTGGCTGATGTCATCGTCTAGCGGGGAGCAGCGACTATCGGGAAGGGTCTCAGCAAAGACAGGAGTTGGATATCTGATCCTAATTACTACCGGCCCCTACGCAGCCAATCAGGGCGCTCCCCGCTTTGGGAGCTGCTGGAAATATCAACACAGCGAGGGCTTAACTCTTTGCAGCGTGGAGGGATTGCAGGGTCCTCACATGAAGGAAGGGCTGGGGTTAGGCCAAGAGTCCTGGGTGGTTGGGTGCAGGGCCTTCCGTGGGTACCGTGTTGGATGCCCTTCCCGACAGGGAGCCAGAGGATGTGGCTGCTCAGCAAATGTGCCCCTTGGCACAGTGTTTGGGTGCTGATCACACAATCACAGCATCATTCGGGCTGAAGGGCCCTCTGGAGATCATCCAGTGCAACCCCCTATCAAGGCAGGGCCACCCAGAGCAGGGCACACAGGAACGTGTCCAGGTGGGCTTGGGATGTCTCCAGAGAGGGAGACTGCACCCAGGGCTGCAGGGGTCCTGGGGAGCTGAACAGGGGTGCTCAGGGTGTGCTGTCTCTGCTTCCCTCCTGCAGGCAGGTGAGCCCAAGGCTGCACTGCTCAGTGCACACCTTTGTCAACATGTGGCTGCATCTGTAGAATGCTTTTGAGCATCTGTAGGATGCTCCACTTGAGACGCTCACATACACTGGGGCTCAGGTGGCCTGTGCTGCAGGCACTCAGAACTGTCCTTGTGTTCTGTAACACACACAGACACTCAGGACAATGCCACACAGAGGAGGCAGGGCTAAACATTCACCTGACATTTCCTGTGCTACAGGTGAGCATGGTGGTCCCAAGCAGGCTGGGCACAGCCATGTGCTGGGCACAGCTGCCATGGAAGATGCTTCTCCACCTTCCAGACATTCTCTCAGAGAAGAAAAACTTGCAAACACACAAAGTGAAGAGATACAGATCCTCTGAGGCTCCCCCTCCCCAGACCCATGTCTGGTTCACTTGAAGCAAGTGGAAGGCAGTGAACTGATGGCACCTTTTGCTTTGGAACCTAAGTGGTAGCAGTCAAGCTAAGTCAGGGACAGGTCTCAGCTTCCCTGACACATGGGTCTCACCTGGGAAGCTGCTAGATGATAAACACCCACCTGAAAACTGCCTCAGGCCTGGTTTGGGTTTTTGTTGGGGTTTATGTTTGTTTGGCTGTGGGGTTTTGTGTGTGTGTGTGTGTGTGTGTGTGTGTGGTGCTGGTGGTGGTTTTACTGTTTTTTATCCTGTGTGTTTGGGAAGTCCTCTGAAACATTTTGGCTTGGTGACAGGAATTTCAGGACTTCCAGATATGCTTCCAGACAGACTTCCATTTCAGATGGCCCACGTCGCCAGAGACCTTAGAAACTCAGTGGCCCCAGAAGCTCTGATTCTGGAAGTGCCCCAGCAGTTTTCAGTGCTGTGGGTCCTCATGTGGCCCATGATGTCCTGAGCCAAGCCATCTACCTGTCCTGGGCTGGTTGTGATTTCCTGGTCATGCTACATATGATGCAGTGGATATTCCTAAACATCTGGCCAAAGACTTGCTCAGGTATCCCTGCTCCCTTTGGAACCTGCTGGTTCCTAATGTCTCCTCCACTGTGCATTAGCTGGACCTGCCTGAGGAGGCTCTGTCCATACAGCACCTCGGGCTGATCTCACCCTTGGTCTGACCCTCTACCCCTTCAGGACCATTTGCAGACGTGATGGATGTTTCCCTGGTTCCACACCAACCACAACGATGCACATGTCATCCAGCAGCCCAGAGGAAGGGTGTCCAGGACTTTTTCGCTCCAATGCTACCTCTTCCTGTGGGAATGAGCTCTGCTTTCTCAGTCCCCTCTTGCTGCTGCTGGAATGGTTCATGTTCGTAACCTTCTCTGTCTGCAAGTATCCACCTCCAGTCTTTGGAGTTCAGTGGAAGAGGAGTGGAGCGCAATGGAGACACTGTGCAGTGTGATCCTGCCTGGGGTGGATCTCCCTGTGGCAGTAAAAGGCCATCAGCAGAGATGGCTTTGATGAGCTGCCCAAGGTGCGCAGCACCTTGTCCGATTCCCCCCTGGACTGGACCCTCTTCCCCTTCAGCACTATCTGCAGGTGTGAAGGATGGACACAGGAGCTCCAGGTCTGGTACCAAATGCTTGAGGAGGTTGGCAGGACAGGCCTGGTCCCAGCTGCAGGGCGCTGCTGGATGGGATTCTCCCATCACCTCCACCACCAGCACATTTTCCCTGCTGACACCTCTACACAGAAAAGGATTTGTCACAAGACCCCACACAGAGGATGTAGACAGTGCAGGAGCCTTTTGGGACCCTAAAGTTCTTGAGTATTGCAGTCTTCCCTCTTTCATGGAGATGTGTTCCCTGCCTGAATGATAAATGAAGACAAAGGACTTTTTTCCCCTTAACTAAATTATTTTTCCCCTTAACTAAAATGATTGGTGAGTGAGATGGATAAAGGCTCTATCCAGGGCTCATAATTCTTCCGAGCACTCTGGAGGTGCCTCTAAAGCAGTGAATAAACCAGAACCAACATTCTTTCACATGGTCCCACACAAGTGCAGGGAGAACAGAGTTGTTCCAAGGCAGGAAGCAAAGGATTGAGATGACTGAGACTGAGATGAGTCAAAATCAGGAAGACACAAGAAAAAGTGAACAAGGATCAGTAAGAAAAAGCAGCAAGCACTATACTTACTTATTTTATTTATTTAGATGGGGTAGAGGCTACAAAAGGCACAGCTGAAAAAGTGAACAGTTGAGTAAAATCCCAGCACATTCAAGATACCGGTATGTGTCCTGCCTCAGCTGGGGAAGATGGCCAGAGAGCAGCAGATGGAGCCCATTACACTTAAACAGGGGAGATTCAGGTTAGATCTTAGGCAGAAGCTCTTCCCTGTGAGGGTGCTGAGGCGCTGGCACAGGGTGCCCAGAGAAGCTGTGGCTGCCCCATCCCTGGCAGTGCTCAAGGCCAGGTTGGACACAGGGGCTTGGAGCAAGCTGCTCTAGTGGAAGGGGTCCCTGCCCGTGGCAGGGGTTGGGACTGGATGAGCTTTAAGACATTGTACCGGTCACTCTGGCAGCCAGTCACTAGCCATTGAACTGCCATTTCTCAAGTTTGAAGTGACCTCAGTTTCTCTTCCTTAAGGGGTAATTTCTAATGCTGGACTCTTGGCTGTGGCAATACATAGACTGGTCATTTCCCTGCCCTGTGCATTATTTACATGTACAGATGTTGAATCTCATCTGATGTTTCATCTTTCAGGCATTCAGCATGGAGAGAGCATTCTGCAACTGCTTGCAGGCAGATTTACTTCTAATTGCTTTAGTCATTTTGAATCATCAGTCCTTTTCCTTAACGTTTCTGCTTAGGAGCCTTCTCCCAGCAATTGGTGGGCATGATAACCCTCACACATAGAATTCCTCCATATAGCTGCTAAACCTATTCAACTTATTTGCAAACTGGAATGAACATTTCCTCATTTATAGTTCCTTGGGTCTTCACTGGAGCCTTTTGTAAAAATGAGCATCAGATTCACCTCTCTTCCCACCCGTGGTGAATGGGATGTTGGGCCTCACTCTGTGCTTAGCTCAGATGTATGCCTTTGCATATTGCAGAGTTCTGCAGCCCTCTGGGACTGCCAGGTCCCAGAGATTTGTTCCCATTCATTTGACAGACATCTTCTACAATCATTTCAACAGCTCCTTAATCACATTAATAGGAAGGACAGACCCCTGAATACTACTGGCCCTGGAGTTGTTACTGGCCGCCATCCTTTTTACCTCTTGCTCTTCTACTGGTGCTTGCAATGGCTGCTCCTCTCTCCTTGAGATTGTTTTAGATAGCATGCCAGTTGTTTATCCCAAATGAGGGTGATGTTCTTACCTTACCAAGCCAGGTAAGTAAGTTAAGGTAAGTTGCACAGGTGCTTAGGGGAGGGAAGCAAGCCAGTCCATGAGCACTGCCATGCTTAGGTTCTGCCGTTAGTTGACCCCAGGATTCTGAGATGGTGAACATTCAAGGTCCCATTATGTTGGTTGCAGGACCTGCTCTTATAAATCTTTTCTCCCCTCTCCAGAACTGAACAGCCACAGACTATGCCCTGTAAGGCCATGCCCTGGCAGAGGCTGAGAATGTAGAAGAGATGAAAGATTTTCTTCTCCCTCCTTCTCTCCCTCCATCCCTCCCTCTCTCCCTTTTTCGCTCCATTCCTCTTTCCCTCCCTTCCTCTCTGCCTCTGTCTCTGCTTTCCTCCTCCAGGGAACACCAGTATCCAAGCCTTGCAAGCTCTCAGTTCACTGTCCAAACTTCTTTCTTAGAAGGTGACCTCGAAGAAACGAGTCATCTCCACAGATGACTCAACTGCTGAATTCACAGCCCAGAGCTGGTGTTTCCTGTGCTGGTCATTATGTGAGAGTCAGCCCTGACCACGTCTATTCTTGATGTCCTCAAGAAAAGGAAGCAGAGAGGCTAGAGTCAAGGAGGACAGGCACTGAGATCACAGATTCTGAGCCTTAGATAGACCAGAAGTATTAAAATAAGGTCTTCATGTGTTTCCAGAGTTCACACTGCTCAGCTCTCAAATGCCTTAGATATGTCTGCCTCCAGGTATTGTGCTGCACCACACTCACTGTCCCACTCTGGAACGGGCAAGCATCACCACCAGTTAATACCTTTCGCTGGAAAGTGAAACAGGAGCACAAGTACCAAGGCTGCCAAGACCAGTCTTGCTCCCCATTCTCCTGTTTCCATGCATTACAGTGTCTCTGCTGTAAACAGGACAATATCTACTGCAGTGAGTGAAGGAGTGAGCCTTAAATGCCAGAAGAAATTAGTCATGGTAGGGAATTCCTTTGAACTGAGAAGTCACAGCCCAGAGCCATGAGGATATCAGCTCTGTGTTGCTCACCAGACACCAGGAAGCAGTTCCTCTCTAATCTCCCAGCACACCCTATTGTTTATGGTTCTGATTTATTTTAAAGCAGATTGTTTGTTTCTCTGTCACTTTGCATCTGTGGGAAAAAGACCCAAATGAGCTGACATTTCTGTGCGATCCCTCTGGGACATGGAGGGGTCAGCGTGTGACACCGTGCCTGTGGCTTAGACCAGGATCCAGCAGGTCTCAGGGCTGTGGAGAGGGAAGTGTCCCAGACCCCTTTTAGGGTGCACTGCCAGGTGAGACTGGGGTGTGCAGAGCCCTTTGCTCTGCCTTCTGCTTTCTTGTTGCACAGGAGATCCAGCACCAGAGAGGACCATCAGTTCCACCCATGTGCTCCAGCTACTGCTGGTGGTGGTGCTGCAACAGAGGGCGTTTATCAGCAAACCCCTGAATTTAGCAAACTGAACGAATTCACTGCGAGGGTTGGATGTGATGCTAAGCAAAAGGTCTGGTAACATGTTTGCAACTGTCCAAGCAAGCAGTTTTTCCCCAGACCTGGTATGCTGCTGGTCACCTCTGCTCAGACCATCCTGTCCTGTAGGAATAAGCCCACTTTCCCCTGGCTTCTTCTCTCTAGCACCTGACAGCCCCATTTAGAGAAGAGCCCTCCTGCCATGGCCTTGTTCTTTGGATCTCCACAGTATGCTCTGGGAAACAAATCTGATGGAATGGAGTCATGATCCTGACTGTCCCCATCCCACGTGTAGGCTAGTGACAGTTTGCTGCATGCTTGTGCTGGTGAAGGTCCCCTGGGGAGATACAGCTCTGTGCTGAATGTCCCCACGCTGGTATAAGTCCTGAAGTCCTTTTCTGAGGAGAAAGGCTGGAGAGAGATTTGCCTTTATAAGCATGTGCTCAGGAAAGCATTCTTCCACCTGTAACCAATACAGCTGTGATACACTGAGTAAAGGGCACTCACTACAGGGAAACTGGTAGCCAAAGCTCACAGAGAGCTCTGGACATCCTTTGAAGATACTACTGCCAGGATGTCACCACCTTCATAGAGTGGAAGAAGCAATCTTTCCCTGATGGAGACTTTTACAATGGGCCAGGTGAACTGCGCATTGATGATGGAGACACAGATCACGGCAACCATCTGAGGTTAGGGCAGGTATGAATCTTCTGCTCTGAGACTGCCCCAGCGGAGCTCCATCAGT